GTTTTTTTGATGTTGAGCTTCAGACCATTTTTTGCATTCTCCTGTTTCACCCTCATTAAGAGGTTCTTTAATTCCTCCTCACTTTCTGCCATCAGAGTTGTATCGTCTGCATATCAGAGGTTATCATCTTAATTCCGGCTTGGGATTCCTGCAGTCCAGCCTTTTGCATGATGTATTCTGCATATAAATTAAATAAGCAGGGAGACAATATAAACTTTATCATACTTCTTTCCCAATTTTGAACCAATCACTTGTTCCATATCCAGTTCTAACTGTTGCTTCCTGTCCCACATATGGTTTTCTCAGAAGATAGATAAGGTGGTCAGGCACTCCCATTTCTTTAAGGACTTGCCATAGTTTGCTGTGATCCACACAGTCAAAGGCTTCTGCATAGTCAATGAAGCAGAAGTAGATGTTTTTCTGGAACTCTCTGGCTTTCTCCATAATCCAGCATGTGTTAGCAATTTGGTCTCTAGTTCCTCTGCCCCTTCGAAATCCAGCTTGTACTTCTGGGAGTTCTCCGTCCACATACTGCTGAAGCCTACCTTATAGGATTTTGAGCATAACCTTGCTATTGTGTGAAATGAGTGCAATTGAACGGTAGTAGGAGCATTCTTTGGCTTTGGGATTGGGATATAGACTGATCTTTTCCAATCCTCTGACTACTGCTGAGTTTTCCAAACTTTCTGGCATACTGAGGGTAGCACCTTAAGAGCGTCATATTTTAAGATTTTAAATAGTTCAACTGGAATGCCATCACCTCCACTGGCCTTTTTGTTAGCCAGGCTTTCTAAGGCCCACTTGACTTCACTCTCCAGGATGTCTGGCTCAAGGTCAGCAACCACAATATCTGGGTTGTCTGGGACAATCCAGATCTTTCTGGTATAATTCGCTGTGTATTCTTGCAACCTCTTCTTGATGTATTCTGCTTCTGTGAGGTCCCTACCATTTTTGCCCTTTATCACGTCCGTCTTTGCACAAAAGGTTCCTTTAAAACCAATTTTCTTCAGCAGATTTCTGGTTTTTTCCCCCTTTCAATTATTTTCCTCTAGATCTTTGCACTGTTCATTTAAGAAGGCCCTCTTGTCTCTCCTTGCTATTCTTTGGAAGTCAGCATTCAGTTTTCTGTAACTTTCCCTATCTCCCTTGCATTTTCTTTCCCTTCTCTTCTCTGCTATTTGTAAGGCCTCATTGGATAGCCACTTTGCTTTCTTGCATTTCCTTTTCTTAGGATGTTTTTTGTTGCTGCTTCCTGTACAATGTTACGAGCCTCCATCCATAGTTCTTCATGCACTCTGTCCATCAAATCTAGTTCCTCAAATCTGTTCTTCACTTCCACTGTGTATTCATAAGGGATTTGATTTAGATTATACCTGACAGGGATGTGGTGGAGCTGTGGGTTAAACCACAGAAGCCTCTGTACTGCAGGGTCAGAAGACCTGCAGGCGTAAGATCGAATCCACGTGACGGAGTGAGCTCCCATCACTTGTCCCAGCTCCTGCCAACCTAGCAGTTTGAAAGCATGTAAATGCGTGTAGATAAATAGGTACTACCTCGGTGGGAAGGTCACGGCATTCTGTGTCTAGTCGCGCTACGTGACCACAGAAACTATCTCCGGACAAACGCTGGCTCTATGGCTTGGAAACAGGGATGAGCACGACTGGACTAAATGTCAAGGGGAACCTTTACCTTTACCTTATACCTGACTAGCCCAGTGGTTTTTCCTACTCTTTTCAGTTTAAGCTTGAATTTTGCTATAAGAAGCTGATGATCAGAGCCACAATCAGCTCCAGGTCTTGTTTTTGCTGACTGTATAGAGCTTCTCCATCTGACTGCAGGGAACATAATCAATCCGATTTCGCTATTGCCCATCTGGTGATGTCCACTTAGAGCCGCCTCTTGTGTTGTTGGAAAACAGTGTTTATGATGACCAGCTTGTTCTCTTGACAAAACTCTATTAGCCTTTGCCCTACTTCGTTTTGAACTCCAAGGCCAATCTTCCCTATTGTTCCTTTTATCTCCTGACTCCCTACTTTGGCATTCCAGTCCCCTATAATGAGAGTGACATCTTTCTTTGGTGTTAGTTTTAGAAGGTGTAAGTTTTCATAGAATTGATCAGTTTCAGCCTCTTCAGCATCGGTGGTTGGTGCATAAACTTGGATGACTGTGATGTTGAAAGGTCTGCCTTGGATTCGTATTGAAATCATTCTACAGTATCATTTTTGAGATCCCAGTACAGCTTTTCCACTCTTTTGTTGACTATGAAGGCTACTCCATTTCTTCTATGGGATTCTTGCCCACAATAGTAGATATGATAATTGTCTGAATTGAATTTGCCCATTCCGTCCGTTTTAGTTCACTGACACCCAGGATGTCAATGTTTATTCTTGCCATCTCCTGTTTGACCACATCCAGCTTACCAAAGTATACCCAATTCCAGTGAGGAATTCAGCAGAGAATTAGAAGGGCACTATTTTATGTTTTTAAAATAGTGCCCTTCTAATTCTCTGCTGAATTCCTCACTGGAATTGGGTATGCTTTGGGGAATAATTTGCAAGACTAGATCAAGGGACAAGGTTGAAGGTTTATCGTTCTAGGCGTTTACACAACATGGTTATTATGGCTGATTTGCAAAGTGCATCCTGAAAGTGAAATCTTGCATTCTGGATGAAATCCTGTTGGGATTAGCTATGCCTGAGGAAAGGAGACTACATTGGCAGCAGGGGGAGACTTTTGGTAACAAAGGAATCACCCTTCTGTAGGTGTAACACAACAGGATTTCAGCCATTCTCTGTTATAGCACATATATGATAAATTGTGCCTCTTGTCTTGCAGTAATCCTGATCAGCTTGAATACATAATGTAGAAACTCTCAGTAACTACTTTGCCGCTTCATGCAGTAGAACCTCTGTTTTGAAGCTTTTTCTTTTATGTGCATTAACAGGATTCAGTTTGTATGCTCATTGTGCAAATATCGCACTTTCTATGAGGATGAGATGTCCAATCATTTGGATAGCAAATTTCACAAGGAGCACTTTACGTTTGTTGGTACTAAGCTGCCACAGCAGACAGCTGAATTCCTGCAGGTGAGCTTGTTGTTGTTTTTTTGCTCTCCAGTTTTATTTATTTCTGATACATAGAGCTATGTTTTAGATTTCCCGATATCTGTGTCACTTCACTGTAAAGTGTCTAAAAGTGAGCCCAGGAAAGTATTGTTCTGGGATGAATACTGACAAAAACCATCAGAACAACATTTATAACTTGCAGTTCTACTACATGGTTTTGTGCATCTTTGAGCATGTTAGAGAGTCAACTATTTCCTTGCTTTAAATATTTTTGGAAGAACTGGAACTGATGAAAGGATACTCAGGCAAGAAAGTGCATAATTTGACAGGGATAGGGGATAAGCAGTTTGTAGAGTAGAATTTTGAATGTGAGATAATTATAGTATACCTTTCATTTTGCACCTTACCCATTCTACCTAGAGCATTCATAAGTTATTCTGCCTTGCAGGAATATGTTGCTAACAAAACAAAGAAGACGGAAGAACGACGTAAAGCTATTGACGATATTAATGCAGTTATACAACAGATTTATAAAGACCAAGATCTTACCCAGGGTATGTATTAGTCTTGTGATAGGTGCAGATGTGGTGTTTTAAAGTTCTACTTTGTAATGATGCACTCTGTATTTTTTTTTCTTATGTGAAAATGTTCAGGGTTCATGCAATATAGGATGTTGAGCAAATGGCTTGATGTTCTTTATGGAAAAGAAAGTTCTTGTTACATGAGTATTGAGTATCCTCTTGTGACTCTTCGGAACAGACAGCATTGTGTTAGTAAACCATAATGATTTTGCTGTATGAAAGGCAGTCATAGGATATACTGTAGAACAGAAATTCATTTTTAAAAAGTATTTCTTAGGCACAGGTAATAATCTTCACTTTTTGTCTCATTTTCCATTATTCTCATTTTGTCTCAGTGGTTTTCCTTCTTTTATTATCATTCTTTATTATTCTGTTATTCTTATTAAGTGGTATACTAGGAAGTTCATGAAAGCTGCGGTGTCATTAATTTCCTTGAATGGCCATGTGCTCTGTCTTATAAAATCTTCGTGAGCTGTAACATGATGTATGTATATAGACTATGATCTCTCTCTTTCTTACACTTCCTCAGACATAGGTATGGAGCATTTTGTAAAAAAGGTGGAGGCTGCTCACTGTGTTGCTTGTGATTTATTCATCCCAATGCAGTATGGTATTATTCAGAAACATCTGAAGTCCATTGATCATAACCACAACCGCAGAGTGAGTATGATCTAAACTAACCATTGATAAAACAAGGTTTGCAGGTTGAATAGTCATTAAATGACTGAATTTTCCAAGGACAAGAGGAGATGCATATGAAAGCCATTGTGTCATATAGTGTACAGATTTGTGCTTTGATTCCACTTATTTAGTAACATTTTTAAAGAGCTTCTTTAAGAGGTGGTAGTATTTACCTGAAACACTTATATCCCTATCCTCAGTATTATTGCTTCCAGAACAGTAATATACGTAGATGCTAATGGCATCCCGTAATTATTTAATTTTTGACTGGAAATGCATTTCCATCTTTTAATATTATTCTCTTTTGGTTTTGTAAAATGTCCACAGATATTTATAAATAAAATGTCATGTTGGTACCAACCATAATTTTTCTTGTTTTTCCTTCAAGGCTATGATGGAACAGTCTAAGAAGTCATCTTTGGTAGTTGCAAAAAGTATTCTTAACAATAAGCTTATTAGCAAGAAACTGGACCGATATTTGAAGGTAAGTGTATACAAGTATACTTTGTGGCCATGCCAGAGATTTAAAAACTCCAGTCCCTCTGATGGTTAAAATTTACTGCCACATATTGTTATTAATACATCCAGTATTTTTATGATGAGAGCAGAACCATTGGAATTAACTGAATTTTCATTACTTTTGACTAACAAATCCCATTTGTTTCAGTGTTATCTACAGTAGCTGGGACCAATTTTTGATTTAGCCTAATGTTAACCATGGAAATGACTTGTTTCAATTCCGCTTTGAAAAATGCTTTCTATACTGCACTCTATATTGCCCACCTTTTGCTCTACTCATTTTTATAACTTACTGTGTTTGGTTTGCTCTTTCTTTACCCTCTGTTCTCTTTCCGCATTTTCAGTATATTGTTTATCCTCTTCTTGTACACATCACTGTTGCTTTTTTTTCTGCTTCCCTGTAAACAGGACGCTTTGTGGTCCCATTTCTCAATTTTGTTGTCTCTTCACTGTTACTGTTGCTTTGTTCTTTTTGTGGCCTCTGTGAATGCACACAATTGGTTGTTCTGCGCCTGCGCTGAACGTCTGGGAAGTTTCTAGAGCTTAAAGACATATGATTAGTGGGATGTTCCCCTGTGGAGCGCATACTCTGTCCATCCTTGGTCCCCTCATTTCCTTTTTTCCCACCGTTTGCAGAAATAGATCATTATATTGAATCGTACTTCCCTTTTCAGTCATCATTATTTACTACAATCATTTTTCTTTATTCAATGTTTCCCCTGTGAATTTATTCCAGTTTTTTCTCTACCCACGTTTTGCCCATCCCCCATCCCCCCATGACCATTTTCCCCTCCTGCCTTTCCTGCTTTTTATGGCCCCCTGTGCCCATCAAGCGGTGTGTTCTCTACATAAATAAGATCCTGCTGATGGTGACGACTGCTGCCTCTTTCGCCTTGGGGAACAACATCCTACCCACTCCTGTTCTGCGTGTAAGAGGCTAATTAAACCAGCCCTTAAACTCCGTCTCCAAAGATTGAGGTCTTACCTCTGGGAGAAATCTCGCAATCCATCCACTGCCTCCATGGAGTCTGCACAATCTCCAGACCCTTAGCCAGAGTGGCAAAATCCATCCATACCTGCTTCCAGCTCCGTGACTCCTTCTCCCCATCATAAGGAGAAGTCAACGTCAAAGACCTCGACTCGATCTCTAGATTCTTCAAAAAAAGAAAAGACGACATTGAAGAAACCAAAAGACTTCAAAATCCACTCAACTTGATCCACCACAACCGACTCTTCCATCTCCTATTCTGGAAGAATCGTCTAAAGATGCTCCAGGCTCATCTGACAGAGGTGACCCATCTTTACCTCTGGCCCAAGCTCCAGCCTCTGCTAGTAGCTTGTTGCCGAGTGTTGGCCTCTCTCTGGCTGATGTTCACTCCAGCCAGGCCTCGGCCCATTTGAACCCTGCATCATCAGGGCGGGCAATTCCAATTGAGCTTTCTGGCTCTGAATCATCTCATCACTCTCCTAGAAAACACCAGGAGAAACGAAAGCATCTATCATCTGCTCTGTACGACCCCCCCACATCGGTACTACTATTATCCACAATCGTCTTGACACCAATTTTGAGATGCTACGAGAGAGAGAGAGATTACCAATAAGACTCTTATCTCATTGAGGATCCTCAAGACCATCTATATATCTCATGACCATGTTTCCCTTACCGCACCCGCCTCGATACTCACCGTTACTCTCTCCATCTCTAGTCTCTAGCCTCCATATCAGTCCATCATATCCAACACCTTCTCGGACTCATGGCCTCGACAACTGCAGTTATACAACACGCATGACTCAAAATGAGATCACTTCAATCATGGTACCTGTCTCTATTTGACCCCATGACGAATCACCCATCTGTTCGTCTTACAGTAACACCCAAACTCGCATGTCGACTCACTTGGTGGACATTTCTCCTGAATCTGCTCATCGGAAGACCCTTTCTGCCTCTTCAACCAACAATACAAGTTACCACCGATGCCAACCCCACCAGTTGGGGAGCACATTGTCTGCATCACAAGATCCATGGCCTATGGACAAATCAAGAAAGAACATTACACATCAGTCATCTCGAACTTTTAGCAATTATGAAGGCTTTCCACACTTTCCTACCACTTATCGCAGGACGTGCAATCTAACTCGCTACAGACAGTACAACAGCTCTTTACTACATAAACAAGGAGGCACACATTCTCTATCCCTTCAATACCTGACCGTCGAGCTCTGAGGATGGTGTTACCAACACCACATCTTCCCAGTAGCGGTCCACATAGCCACAGAGGAGAATCCCTCGCAGACTATCTCCGTTGCCTTACCTCGAGGACACATGAATGGTCCCTACACGACACAGTCTTCAATCTCTTGTGCGACCATTGGGGCACCCCTACCATTGACATCTTTGCTCTTGAGCAAATGCCAAATGCCCACATTGCTGTTCTCAGGACGGTATTGACAAGAACTTGATTGTAGACGCATTCATGATAGACTGGGACAAAAACCTACTTTATCTATTTCCTCCCATACGGCTCATACAAAGAACCATCATTGTTCGACTCCAGTGGTTCCAGCCCAATGCAGTCCTTCTTGCCCCATCGTGGCCAATGCAACCGTGGTTCACCCACCTGAGGTCGATTTCAACTGACTCATTAGATCCCTAATCTTCTCACTCAGAACGACAGGATGATCTACCATCCACACATACCATCTCTGAATCAGCCTGGAGGATACTCCTGCCATAAGGGATGTACTTCATCAAGCTTGAAAGCCCTCGACTCAGCTTTTATACCAAAATAAATGGAAAGCATTCCTTACCTTTACTGATTCTCATAACTTACCTGCAGCACTAGTCTCTTTAAAGACTTTACTTATATTTGTCCTTCATCTCTTCAATTGTGGATTGTCCTATTCCACCTTGAAAGTCTATATCTCTGCTATTGTAGCACATCAACCTCCCAATTCTAAATCAGCTAGACCTTTCTCTCATCCAACTGTAAAAAGGTTTCTTAAAGGACTCAACAATATCCGTCCTCGACACCAATGTATTATCCCTCAATGGTCTCTACAACCTGTCCTCAATGCACTCATGGGTTCGCCCTTCGAACCTATGGCTACATACAGTCTTAAATTACTCTCATTAAAAACTTCCTTTCTTCTAGCAATAACTTAGCTAAATGGGTTAGCAAACTTGCAGACCTCCACTCTGATCCACCCTTCCTTCAGTTCCATCCGGATAAAGTCACACTGTATTTCGATGTTTCCTTCTTACCCAAAGTTGTATCTGAATTTCACCTTAATCAACCAATTATTCTACCCACACTGTTTCCATCCCCGTCAACACCTCTTGAGTGCATGCTCCGTACAAGTGATGTAAGACACTCTCTTGCCTTCTATAATGACAGGACTAAGTCTTTCAGGAAATCACAGAGACTTGTCCCCATAAAGGGGCTCCAGCTTCGCCACAATCTATTTCTAGATGGATTGTCCAAACTATATCATTGCCAAATGAGTTATCAGGCAAAACACCACCTGAGCATTTAAAGGCACACTCAACCAGAGCGCTGTCAACATCTACTGCCTTCCAATGTGGGATTGAACTCCCTCACATCTGCCATGTGGTGACATGGGCTACTCTATCCACCTTTATCAGACATTACTGTCTTGATGTCAGAGCACAGAACGAAGCTGTTTTTGGCAGAGTTGTTTTTGGCATCCTTTCTACCATGACATCCCCCCATCCAGTAAGTGAGATTGCTAGTCACCCAATTGTGTGCATTCACAGAGGCCACAAAGAAGAAAGAGAGGTTACCTATGTCCAACCATACTTCTCCTAGTGGTCCTCCGTAAATCCACACATCCCACTCATCCTCCCCTCTGTCCATCACATTTTATTTTTAAATAGCTCTTTTAGACCGTCAGACTTTTTTCAGGAACTGAGGAGACCAAGGATGGGCGGAGCATGCGCTCCACAGGGGAACGTCCCACTAATCATGTGTCTTTAAGCTCTAGAAACTTCCGAGACATTTGACGCAGGTACAGAACCACCCAATTGTGTCAATTCACAGAGGACCACTAGAAGAACTATGGTTACAGGTAGGTAACTTCTCTCTTTTCTCTTTTAACTCTGTCAGCTTTCTTCTAGCCCACATTTTCTTTGATTTTTTCTTTGTACCCCATTTCTGTGTCTCAGACTTTTTCCCAGTCCACTCTACTCTCCTCAATGGTTTTATCTCTATTTCTCATGTCAGGTCCACATACATCTCTAAATGTAGGAAGAGGAGGATAGATACAGGCAGTAGCCACTTTCCTTCCTTCTATACAGTATTTGAAGTTTTTTTTCCTCAGGCCACAGAAGTCTATAGAAAGGTATGAGGAAGTGCCCCACATTCATGAGCATTTGGAATTTCTTTGAGGAGATGCAACTAAAAGGGAACAAGATGTGCTCAATCCACAGGCCTCCATTTATCATACTCAGTGGAGAATTTCTAACTAACAGTTTCAATCTGACTGAAACTGAGCATCCAGAAATAAAAAGTTTGTGCGCTCATTTATGTGTACAATGGTGCCTTGCTTAGCGATTGCTTCGTTTAACGAAGAATTCACTTAACGATGTATTAATTTTCCGCATCGTTTAACAATGTTCTCTATGGGGGATTTAAATGGGGAAAACAAAAAATCACCAAAAATTAACGAAGACTCAGAACAAAGCCAAAATAAGTGTGTGCATGTTTCACAAGGTGCACTACCAAATCCAAGCATTTAGAACAGGTTTCAAACATTTTAAGACACTTAAAAATGAGCAAAAACGGAGATCGGAAAGCCATTCAAAAGCCGGCTGCAATGCTTTTGAATGGCTTTCCGTTGGGGGAAACATTGTTTCACTTAGCAATGTTTCCTATAGCGATTTTCGCTTAAGGACGGTAATCCGTTCCCATTGGAACGGATTAACCGGTTTTCAATGCATTCCTATGGGAAATGGTGTTTCGCTTAACGATGTTTTCCCATAGCGATGGTTTTTTTGGAACCAATTAACATTGTTAAGCGAGGCACCACTGTATCTGTAAATTACACAATTCCTCACAGTGTGAGAAGTTGTTAATATCTGGGCAAGAAAGTTTAACATGAAGTACTATGTGGCACTGTCTTATTTTGCAGGGTGAGAATCCCTTTACAGATGATCTTGAAGAGAAGGAGGAACACGAGGAAGGTGAAGCAGGAACAAGTGGAAACATGGAGGAAGGAACAATTGAAGATGAAGGAAATAAAGCTGAGGAGGAAACAAAAAGTGGTGATAATGTAGCTGAGGAAAATCCAGTTGAAGAAAATCCAGCTGCAGAAAACAAAGATGATGAAGGAGAAGAGCCACCAGGACAAGTGGAAGGGTGGAACACATCCCAGGAAGCCATGGCAGATGAGCAAGAGCATGAGGATAAAGACGAAGAAAGAAGAGAAATCATACCTTCAGAGGAGATGGAACCACCTGATGAATGAACATGTAAAGGAGGTTGAAGCATTTTGAGACTGCATCAAAACTTTTAAAACCATAACTGTATTTGTGACACTACATGGCACGCGGCTTTTGGTTCTCATTAACTACACTTCCACCTAGTTACACCACTTAAAAGCCTTTATCTGTAAAGTGTTTTTGGAAATAGCTTTTTTAACCAAATCTTCATTGTATTAGCTAGGTTTTGTGCAGTACAATTTTTAAGTGGCTTTGTACTAGGGAAAACAATTTGAGTAAATACTCAAACCAAATTTTGTTAATTGGCTTGAACCATGCTACAAGTTTGGGGGGATAAATATCCTCTGTCCTTCTCCCTTTAACTTTGTATATAGTTGAAAATGTTTTTGTTCTCTATGTAGCCTTGTCTGGAAATGTCAGTAGCAGAATTCTGGGTTTTAAATTCTGCACGAGTGGAGTAACTTCCACATCACTGTAGCAGTCTTCTATCTTTTTACTTTTAATATACAAAGGTTATTCTTGGAAGTCAGCACAAGGTTTTGGAGTGCTCTTATTTAATGTGAATATCTCCAACAGGTTCAGATAAAGCTCTATATTAGCACTACCTATGTGTGTGGGTGTCTGAGGGAAGCAATATGATGACAGATGTCCAGGAAGCCCCAAAGAAGGATAAAAATGCGCACATGCCTTCTTAAAAGGCAATTCAGCACTGGTCCTTTTGAGCTTTGGGGACATTATTGACCCTTAGCTCAGGGTGCTGTTCTGTAAGGGTGACAGTAGCCCATATGAAATCCACCGATGAAGAGTGTTAAAGAAATATTAAAAATCCTCTTCGGTACAGTTCCTTGCCGTTGTCTTATTCTAAAACCTCTTACAATGCATTCCTGAACAGTACAATACTGCTTCACTGTTTCGGAAAGAAGAGAGTCCCAGGCAATAATGCTGCTGGCTTACTTTTGCTCCACCACTATCTGTAGAATGCCTCACAAAGAAATAGTAGTGCAGCTACCACTGCTCTTGTTCATGCTCCATTAATTCTCCTGTGTTTTTCTTACTGTACATGCACTCTTCCAGCAGTTTAAGTGAACTGGAAAAGGTTCATAGACATATTTTTCTAATTAGTTGCTACATCAGATAAAAGAGTGGTTGGTGAAAGAATAATTGGCTGCTTGAGTGGAGGCTTTGGCACCTGAGCATCCTTCTGTTGCCTTAAACTTTGGAGCACCGTGGATTTGGTGTTAGAGATGTGAAAGAAAATAATGTGAACAAAATGCAAAATTCAGTGAATACAGGGGAACACATATATTGAAGGAGGTTTCAGGGTATAGCTTTCCCTTAAAAATGTGTAACAAGTCAAGTGTTGATAACTGTACCCATGTCTTGTACTCAACGAAACTGTAGATGTTCCTGACAATAAATCTGATGAATGTTGGAAGTACTGAAGTTACCTTGAAAATTACCTTGAAAATTGTATCTGTAATGCACTAGGGGAAAATATGTAGTTTGTAAGTATTACTGCAGTGAGTGGCAATGACAGAGGCTGCTAATGCAGAGGTGGCCAACTTACTGTCTTCCAGTCCTAGATGTTACTCTGGGCTTGCTACTAGTTACAGAAGTTAGGTGTGTTCCACACACCTAGTTTCCCTCTCTGAAAAGGTAGATGGTGGTAACATAGATGGGGTTGTTATCCAATGTTAACAGTACCAACTTTTCTTGCATCCGTCTACAAACTGTCCCAGATCTCTAGTTAAAAACCAACTTAATGGTATTTATCCTAAGATTTTCATGCAAGGTTCCCTCTAAGGTGCACGCCTTTGCGACTCTGCTGCCTCCACATAGGGCTCCTCCTCCTCCATGCACCTAGAGTGATTGTTTTCAGCCCCTTTGGTTCCAGTCATGACAGAACCCTGTGCGGGGAGGGCAGAACTCTGCCCAACAGGGCTGAAAATTAGAGGGAACATTGCATTCACATGCTCTTAAAAATGGCTCAATAATCTACTGTGTCTTCCCTTTTCACCATCTCTCTATATTGTATGTTTTTATTTGAAAATAAGTCTTACTGAATTGAGTGGGACTTACTTCTAGGTAAGTCCATTTAAGATATATTTGGATAGGTATACATTATGAGTGTAAATATGGGGCCCTGAAACCTCTTGTTTATCTTGTAACTCTAAAGAAATGCTAGGGGCATTTTGGAGGGGGCAGTTGGCAAGGGTAAGAAATGCTTCCCTAACTTGCTGCTTCCCTCCTACACTCTGGCTCCCCCCCCCCCATAGCCTCTCTCATAATCCATCTCATCTTTCTTACCCACCTACCCCAAAGTCAACAAGGAAGCAAAAAGGCAGGGAGGATTGATTGATGAGAGCAATTGCCTTCCTTTCATTATCACATTACTGTGGTTTAGAAATCTGATTAACAGCGTAGCTCAGTTCTACTATATCTTTAAAAGACTGATATTATGCAAGGATACTACAAAGCAAGTTGTTATTGCAACCAGTGAGGGTTGCTTACAAGTTATGTAGGCAAGGTATTGCAGCCTTAAAGTGTGACCTTATCTAATGTATTTAAAGGTAATATGATTCATGGTCTAAGATCAGCTTCTTATGGAATCACTCTTACATTATACACATAGCTTGATAAATAAGCCATAATTGGTGCTCAGTATCCTGAACAAACGTGGGCTTATTACTTTAGAGCTGAACTTTTCATCGGATAATCTGGGAATCTGAAAGTACAGAAAAGGCAAAATACTTTAACCCAGAGTACCACTCCCCTCATTTCTAAAATAGCTGTTAGTTTTTTAAAAAAAAGTTAGGGGAAGATTTAGATCATGACTCCCTAGCCATATATAGTTTGACCCTTAATCAGAGATGATTGTGGCATATTATTACTGTTCCTCCTGGTAAGCAGGAGACAGGTAAGGACAGCTAGATAAACTAGAAGTCTCAGAGAATGAAGAGTTCTGGTGCTACTCACATTTTGCAGGTATAGTCATGCAGGCAGAACACAGAGAATATCTAGTGTGTGTTTAAGGCAGTGGCTAAAGAAACAGTTCTAGACCTACATATTTTATCCAAAGGAGTCTTTTTTAGGACAGAAAATCCAAGAGCTAGACACTATACTTGACCTCTGACTGAAATAGTATTCAATATAATCTCACTATATACATTTTCCTTATTCTTCATTCATCCAATGGTTTTCAACATTCTAATTGAATGGAGGAGGATTCCATGTTCCGTTCAGGATATAAATTCCAAAAGCAACCAAACAGTAGGTTAAAGACTGTGCCACCTCATCATGTATCTTTATGAGGGATAAGTATCATAACTCTACCTGAATTGCACATTTCTCTTTATGTTTTTTTTAAAAAATAGACTGTAAGAGCTTCACAGTAGAGCAAATTCTACCACATACTGGCTTTTGTCATTGAAATGGTGTGAAGTGAAGAGCTGGTGAAATTCTCCTTTCTGTGCAGTTGAAGCACAGGCAATGCCTTTGAGATCAGTTCTGGCATTCTTTTCAATTTCTCTGTTTTTCATGTTTCATGTATATGCATTTATTTTTTATTCTTCAAATATGTACAGATTAGCCTCCTTCTCAAATGCCGTTAATTGTATTGATGTACCATAATGTTGATTTTGTACATCAGTTTTTAAGCTAGTTTGTCATGAATTACAGTGTTCTGTCTATATAAAATGAATCTAAACGAAGATGTGACTGCCCAGCAGTGATTCAAACAATATCCAGATGTTATAACTGCAGCATTCTGTATGAAATTTCAGAAATTTTCTGCCAGCTATGGCAAGCAGTGGTTGATTTTACTGAACTATGATGTTCAGTGCAAGAAGACTGCTTGGTAAACTGCAGGAAAAAATAAGCTGTCTCTGGTGGACAAACTTAAGTATAAGCACACTTGCTATGGAATATGCCCCGGTGAAGACTGAACTAGCTTCTAAGTACAGTACTGTATACCTTTCTAACATTACACTGTAGTTAGGAGCCCTGTGTTCTGCTTTCTCCTATAGAATGGACTTCTGAACTTTTATCAACTAGGAATTTCACCTGAATAGTCTGGGAACAGATATATTTCTTTATTTAAAATATTTTTACCCCTAGATGGGGCCAGCCTAGTCTCCTGTGGTAGGGAATTCCAAAGTCTGTGAGCAGTAACAGAGAAAGACAATCTCTCCCAGTGTTTTCATGTAGATGTTGAATAACATAGCAGACAAAACAGAACCCTGAGAGATCCTACAGGCCAGCAGTCAGAGTGTTGAACAGGATTCTCCCAGCACCACCTTCTGAGTTCTCTGGGCCGTCCAAGAGTCACCATAAAACAGTGCCTCTAAGGCCCATCCCAGAGAGATGACCCAGCAGTTGGGCACACTTCAGATCTGAACTTCTCCATTATTTTGCACCAAACATTTTTTGCTAGTCACTATTGACGTTTCCACACTGCTTTACAATATCTTGCAAGTGCAATTTTATTGTAGTAATTAAGGGGATGATGTTGGCCAGACTCAAGTCCTTCTTTTGCAAAACATTGCTGAGGTAAGAGAGTGCATGGAGTTCATTAGTCACATAGCAGGTGATGAGGAAACTCATTTCTGATTTCCAGCAAGATGCCTCCTACCAGTGATGAAAGGTCTTCCCCTTCCTTGCTGATGTGTTCACAAGCCATAAAAATTAACATGAAGCTCCTGGAGACTGCATCCACTATCCTGTAGTGAGACAACTACCTCACTTCAATACGTTCTTGAATCTTGAGAACTGGATCATTAATTACTGCTTAAATTTCAGGCAAAATATTATTCTTAGGTGACTTGCTAAACAACTTGCAAATGTCTTTCAAAACATGAAATTTTTTTGACCTCTTGGTTTTTATTCCTGCAGGAAGTTGCTGCCAGGGACAAGGTGTGTGCTCAACAGTGTATGTATGTAGAGAACTTTGCTTGCCTTTTCTGAAAGCTGCTTTCTCACACCTCCAACATTCCCCAGCCATATTGGAAGCACCATCAAATCCAAAGACAATAATACTGTATTGTCATAAAATAAATCAAGAGCAGTCAGTTCCATGTCAATAGCATCTGCAACAGTGTCTGCCTTTCCAATTAGGGATTTTGTCTATTGCCAAGAACTTTTCCGCAGGGACTTTATCTTCCACAACTCTGAACATTATACTCCGATCCATTTCATTTCTCAAGTACTTTTATCTGCCCAAATGAATTCATTGTTTTCCAATTTTTTTTCAACTTACCTCTCAAAACTTTCACCCATACACACCATGCTGTGTTCTTGCTGCTGTAATTTGATGTACCACTCAGCGCTTTTCTCCATGTTTTAAAATCATCATTCAATTTGTTGAGAATATTTTGATCAAACTCTTATATGTGGTAGCGTGAGCTACTACTTCCTTTACCAAAAAGTACAAGACTCATGTAAGTATTTTAAGACTTTCCTGTTTAAGTGTCTTCCACTTTCACCCTGTTGAACAATTTGAGCTTGAATGGGTTTCTTCACAACCAGTCTCCTGTTGTTTTCCATTTCTACGCTTACAGTGTGAGCTGAAGTTTCATGCTTCTCTAATTTCCCATTTTTTTCTAATGCTTTTTTGAAAAATGTGAAACAGTTATGAACCCTCCATTTGTCTTTTGCACAATTTTGCATCATTTTTCATGAAATTTTGGCATTCTTTACAAAATGCACCTCCTTGTTCTTCACTGTATCCCAGCCAAGTATACTGTAGTTCTGTTCCCATTGTTTATTGTAGTGGCAGTCTTCGTCAGATGATCCTGCACCTTCGTTTTCAACATTTTCCAATTCCATAGGCTGCATTGATGGTGATGGACCTGCCTCCCTCTCTTGGTTTTTTACTAGGTCCTGCCACTGCAACACTAAAATAGGAGTCTATTGTTCTCTTAATTCTGCTTTTGTCACTGAAGAATGAAGAACCTATCAAAAGAGTAATAATTTTTAATCAAGTCAATATCCAATACACTCTTGCTAGGGTTGTACTTTACTGTACAGTAGTACACTTAATATAGCACAAATTCATATCACAACCCAACTAACTGTGTTTTGTGGAGTTGCACTTTATATACCTAACATTAAGTCTACAAAATTCTTGTGTGTACGAGATAGTATGCAGCCTGATTCAAAAACTGTTTACATCAAGTTATCAATGTCCCCTTTGAAGTGTGGTACCACATAAGGGATTGGTACTGTATGCAAGCAGCTGGGCAAGTAGCTCTTGGAAGACTGCAAATGTTCAAGAATAAATGTCTTTTTAAATTGAGTTTCTAGTTCTTTCTTTAACCATTCAATAGGGCACCTCGTTGTTTAGTCGTGTCAGACTCTTCGTGACCCCATAGACCAGAGCATGCCAGGCCCTCCTATCTTCCACTGCCTCCCAGAATTGGGTCAAATTCATGTTGGTGGCTTGGATGAAACTGTCCAACCATCTCATCCTCTGTCGTCCCCTTCTCCTCTTGCCTTCACACTTTCCTAACATCAGGGTCTTTTCCAGGGAGTCTTCTCTTCTCATAAGATGGCCAAAGTATTGGAGCCTCACCTTCAGGATCTGTCCTTCCAGGGAGCACTCAGGGTTGATTTGCTTTAGAATGGATAGGTTTGTTCTTGCAGTCCAGGGGACTCTCAAGACCCTCCTCCAGCACCACAATTCAAAAACATCAATTCTTTGGCGGCCAACCTTCTTTATGGTCCAGCTCTCACTTCCATACATCACGACAGGGAAAACCATAGCTTTGACTATGCGGACTTTTGTCCAAGGTGGTGTCTGCTTTTTAAGATGCTGTCAAGTTTTGCCATCCCTTTCCTCCCAAGAAGCAGGCATCTTTTAATTTCGTGGCTGCTGTCACCATCTGCAGTGATCATGGAGTCCAAGAAAGTAAAATCTGCCTCCATATCTTCCCCTTCTATTTCCCAGGAGATGATGGGGCCAGAGCCTACCAATGTGTTTTTGTACTGTCACTATATAGTGTGTAGAATGAGAGAGATGGGCTGTAACAATACTTTTAAATAAACCTAGTTTAGAGAAATAGTACCTACAAGCAAAGAAATGAACAACCTCAGTAGCCACAGGTGGGAATCAAACTTTTAGTTTACTTATCAGGATAGTTTCTTTATATGTCAAGACAACAACAAATAGAACAGTATCCTTGCCATGATGAAACAAACAGTAAACAAAGCAATAAACGTGAAATTAAACTAGCACAGACCTTAAGTTTTGCCAACTCAAGATTTTAAACTGAAAATGGCGCACACTTTATAACAGTTCCAGGTTTAAAATTTTATAACATAATACAATCGTTTAAATTATTTTCAATTTTGCTGTAATGGTGCTCCCGTTGTCCCTGGGGGAGGCGGCTGGATTTGCTCTGGGAGGCAGCAAACCCCCAGCTTGAAAGAAACTCTTATCTGCCGTCCTGTACAAAAGTGACCCCATATGTCGGGGCTGATCGGTCATCTGCAGGAGGTCAGCAAGGAGTTTTGACCAGTCTCTGCTTTGAAGTGCAGCAGAAATGTTGTTTCGCCCTCCAACGAATAACTTGTGAGGTAAGCACGAAGTTATTTTTAAGCACCACCACTAAAGCGAACCTCTCCCCTGCCCCGCTTCATTTGAGGTCGAAATTCCTTCCCGAAGTGCCCGGAATCTCCAACCGACCTGAGAACCAGAAGGCGCTCCCGCGAGCCAGGCCATCCATCAGCCAAGAGAGACCACCTTCTTTTTTTCCCCCAGCAATCCCCGCCACGCACGCGCGCGCGCACGACCCGCTCCTCCCCGCGTCTACCTCCGAAGCCAATGAAAGCGGACTTGGCAGGGGAAGGCGCGAGGAATACTTATTCGTGGACATTCGACGGGCGGGGCTTCGAGGTTACAGCCCATAGAAACGCGCTCGTTGACAGCAGCAGCCAATCGGCGGCGGTTTACGACTCTGACGCCGTCAGGTTATAAGATTACCGTGCGTGGTGGCTGCTTGACGGCGAGGGCGAACCATGGATCAGGGTTATGGTGAGTGTTTGTGGCGAGCGCACCGGGTGCAACGCGAGCCCCTGAAAGTGTGGGGAGGCTTCGGGCCCGTTACAAGGGCCGCGTCTGGTTTACAGAGTTGCAGAACCAAGTTTTCGTTGCCTTCCTCGTTCTCTTTGGAGCGATTAGCTGCGTTGATTGGAGATTGTGCTTGTCTTTCACTGCATTTCGCCTGGTGATTGGAAGAGTGGCTTGGCCGGGGCGGGGCAGGTCATTTAATACCCTAGACCTGCGAGAAAGGCGGGACTAGGGCTTATTTCCAAAGACGACACAAAATGGCGTCGAGAGGGCCCCTTTACTCACGATGAGGGCGCTCCTCCTCCTCGTTCTCCTGCGGGGGGTGGGTGGGAGTGCTTGTCCCTGAGGGGAGAGCCTCGCAGCTCACGGTGCGCCAGGCCTCGAGTCTTGCGGCTTCCTAGTCTCCTAGGTTGTGGAGCTACTTATAGGGTCTTACCCTCGGCTGGGTTTTCAAGCATCATTTCTGTCCCTACCTTCGTAGTAAAAGCTCCTGGTCTTCTTGCCGTTTTGCGACAGATACTGTTGCAAATGGACCTTTCGTTCCTGGGGGCCTTGAAAACCCGTTAAAATGTCTGAAGGCCATCCTTTTCATTAAAAAAATGTGAGACGGAAGTCGGGGTGTGTGTGTGGGGAAAGAAGTAGCCCCAATATTTTTCTCTCTCCAGAGTTGCTCATGTTTTGATACGGTGCCTTCAGTTCTCAGCCCTCCAAGAGGCAATGGTTGTAGTAGCGTCCTTGAAAATGTCGTCATGCAAAGCGGTTCTGTTTCGATAGAAGTCAGCACTGAATTTGTTTAAACCAATAATGTACCATTGTACCCAGGCCTTTAAATTAGTTAGATAATCTCTGGTACACATACAGTATTTATTTTCTGCCCTGTCTTTCCTCCTGTAGAAGGACCAATGGGAGGCTTACAAATGACCTCAACATTAAAACAGCTACAAATACAATAAATGGCACTGTTAAGAACAAACATGTTCATTGTCAAAAATATTGACTGTAATTTAAAAATTACCCTGTTTTCCCGAAAATAAGACCTAATCTGAAAATAAGTCATGCTATGATTGTTCAGGATGCTCATAATATAAGCCCTACCACAAAAATAAGCCCCAGTTAGGTGATATTTCATCCTCCACCATTGTGGAGCAACCAGGACATGACTGCATTTGAATAAATGCAGATTGTTGTACATGAAAAAAAATACAGTAAAGCCTACCTCAAGAGAAAGCCTGAGGGGTCTCTTGTGGAAGGGAGTTCCATAGCATAGGTCAGCCAGCCAGTGAAAAGGCTCTCTCCCATGTCCTGATTGATTGTGGCACTAAGAGAAAGGAGTGCTCCAAATATCTTAAAGTCTGACAGGGTTGAGAAGGGGATATTGATTTCTCAGATAGGTTGGCTCCAAATCATTTAGAGCTTTATACATCAGTACTTTGAATTGTGTTCAGAAATGTCCTGGTAACCAGTTAGGCTGTCACAACAAGGCCTTTCTGACTTTCCCTGTAATTAGCTCTGGTCATGAGTCTTTCTGCAGCATCCTGGTCCTGCTGAAGTTTCTCAATTTTTTTCCAAACAGCAGTACAGTACGTAGGAGTAATTCAGGTAAGATGCAACTAAAGAATGTGTCACCATGACCAGAACATGGCCCTGTTTTATAAAAGTGTTCCTGACACTTGAGTTGTGATAGTGCATGGAATACAGTAGATTATTTCAGCATAGCAATAACATACTCTATGAAATTCCAAATGTCTAGATGTTTATCAGGTTGAAGCCAGCTGCACTCATTCCTGGAGAGGTCTGATCCACAGTGACACATTCCTTGGTTACATCCCAGGTGGATTACTATAACAGTTATTTTAATGGCACATACTCGGGAATATGTCAGCCCAGCTATCTTTGGTAGAGTAAGATGTAGTCCTGAAAGCTGACGCCATGATGAAATGTGCTTAAGTGGTGTTTATCAGGTTGAAGCCAGCTGCATTCATTCCTGGAGAGGTCTGATCCACAGTGACACATTCCTTGGTTACATCCCAGGTGGATTACTATAACAGTTATTTTAATGGCACATACTCGGGAATATGTCAGCCCAGCTATCTTTGGTAGAGTAAGATGTAGTCCTGAAAGCTGACGCCATGATGAAATGTGCTTAAGTGGTACATGACTTCTTATTTTTATAGCTAGAAAGAATTTAGGCAGTTTTGTGATTTGAAAAACACTGGTCATTTTCACTCATGTGCTGCTTTTGTTAATTTCTTTGTCACATAACTTTTGATGACGTAAAAATCATGGCAGTTTCTCTGTGGTGTAATACAGGGCTGGACATGTGCTAGATTGTGTTCTCCTGGAATACCTTGTAATGATCAGTAGTTAAATTGGCAAGAGTTTGATATCATCTTAATAGCAGCAAGAAATGCTAGCTAATTAGAGTTTCTGGAGACTTTTATTTAAAAGACAACTTTGACTTAGTGAGCCTTTTCAGAATTTTCTTTGTACAGTAGAGAGAAATTAGAACTGTTTCACCATTCCTTTCCTCTATGGCTTGAACTGTGCAGCCTGCCCAAGGCCCCACAGGCTGGCTCTGAATCTGCTGGATCATTTAGCAGGTTTTTTCAAGCAGTTTTATGAAACAAATATTTCAGAGTGTTTGACTCTGTTTAGTCAACTATCTGTAAGCTCAACTCATGCTCTTCTTGGCTTACTATAGTTAGGGAGAGATGCCTGTCTGGGTCCCAGGAGGATGTAAATTCCTTTAAAAAGAGTGGTGTCAAAAGAAATAACAAGCTTATTGAGCCTGAAGTATCCTAATCTGGACAGTGTGAGGCGCTGCAGTCAGTTGCTAACATCATACTTCTGGATTTTGTGCTTAAGTAAGTTGTTGATGGCCAGCTTCAGAAACTCTTAGCTGAAGTTGATTTTCTCCATACATTTTAATCAGGAATTGGACCAAGTTTTGGAACTGAAACTGCTTTTGTTTCCTAGTATGATTATCTTTGCTGAGAGAAGAAAAAGTGAAATGTGACGTTTGATTATTTTGGAATTCTTAGTAGCTTTCTATAAACATCAACAAAGATGTTTCTGGATAGCTGGTCTGAGTTGGGTGTTGGATGGTTGTTAGGAAGAGCATTTTTCATAACCAGGTGGTTTCCCAGTTATTTTGTGTTCTCCTCAGAAAGGCTGGAACCTGTTTCTGCTTGCTATAAAGTCAGTTGAATACCTTTTTTGTTTTCATATGCCTTTTACAGTGGACCCTTGACTTACAGACGGCTTGACTTACAGACTTTTTGAGTTAGACTTCTCTGGCCGCAAAATTTAGGTTTGACTTGCAGACTGAGATTTGACTTACAGACCAGAAAAAAACCAAAATGGAACAAAAACGGCCTGTTACGGGATTAATCGGTTTTCAATGCACTGTAGGTCAATGGAGACTTGACTTACAGACTTTTTGACTTGAGAACCGCCTTCCAATACGGATTAAGTTCTCAAGTCAAGACCCCACTGTAATTTTAAAGCTGGCTGGATAGCTCATTGAATTATGTATCCAGCTGCATAGCTAGAGGTTGGGAGTTGAATACTGTACTTCATTGTGCATCCCAGAAGAGCCAGTCTCTGTGGCCTTGGGCAAGCTTAGTCCCAGGGGGCCCTGAGAAACACTTCTGAGTATTGTCTACCTAGAAATCCCTGAAAAGGGTTACTGTAAGTCAGAATTGAGTTGCCAGCACAGTTATTATTTAACTTTAAATCTTGCATTCTCTTAGGTACCTGTACTGTATATGGTATCACAACTGTAAAATTTCTGGTGCTTCTTGGAGTTTTATAGTTGCTTTATCCTCTGCTAATGGTTTTAATGCTACATTTAAATTTCAGGATTTTATTCTTTAAGCTGCCTGACAATCTTAATTAATAGGCAGCACATAGATGTTGCTAATTACAAATTATATAGCCAGAAGTACACAATATGAGTTACTTTAAAGAAAATATCAAGCAGAACATAGAATGTTGCTTTAATGTTATATGTATTTGAATTCAAAACTATAAAAATAAAAAGTATTGTGTGCTTTCAATTTAGCCTACAGCAACTTTTCTCATGGTTTTCTATATAAAGTACTCAGAAGTAGTTTAACCAGTATTTTAAATATTTCCAGGCATGTATTCCATTACCCACATTCTCCTTTATATTCTAAAAAGAATTTAAAATGTTTGCTAATATTGATATGCTAAAGAACTGAGTATCAATAAATACCTACTTCCTGGATGTAAATTGTTTTCTGTCCATGTGTGGAAGAAGAGGAAGATAAAACCTTCTGTTTCTGTTTCCAGTCTTTGTATACTCAGCAGAAGTAGAGAATAAACACTCTATATAATTAGTCATACAAATATTCTCAGTCATATGTTCAGTCCCTGTGTTTGTGGTCTCCTCTTACATTGATTGAAGATTGGAGGTCAGCAGGTGTGCAGTGGTTGGAGAAGGAGGACCAAGACATGCAGTCAGTTTTCCACACACATATATACATGCTGATGAAACATAAGAAGGCGGTATTTACCTTTAAAAGTTAATTACAATTTTGGAACTTCACAGTCATTGATGAATTTCTAAACTTACATTATTGCATAAAATTATTTTTTTCTTGAAAAATATAGTGAGCTTTTTTTTACTGTATGTAGTTTGTCAACCAATTTTCACTCCTTCTGAAAACATAAAAGAAAATGTAGACTGAAATAGACATGTTTGGAAATATTTTCACAGTATTATCACTGCCTGAGAGAGAACCGCAAATAGCTGTACTCTGTTAATATATGATGTAATAGAATGCAATCTGATCATCCACACACAGAATGTGCCATAGAAAATGTTAGTCTGCAGGTGAAAGAACAACAGTTGGAGCCTTCGAGAATAAATTAGAGAAGTTACCTAGCCTGTAAAATTGACTTTCTGTCTCAAAAAACAACAACCCAACAACATTTGATAACAAGGGAAAGTTTTTTTTTTTAAAAAAACTTGCTCCTGATGAGATTTGTTAGTCTTGCTTATATTCTGTTTCCATCTGTCCTTCATGAGTAATGTGGAGCTCCGAACCAATGTAATTACAAAAGTCAGGACTAGGCTTGATGTGTGCATAGGCTTATGGAAAGATTTAATTGTTGGTTTGTTTTTTCTTTCTGAGGCACCTCATCAGTAATGGTGTTTTTTTTTACCTTAAGAAGATACTTACAACAGACTTAACAGACAGTTGCCACATTGGGAAGAAATATCTACATCAGTTGTGGAAAATGTTTGCCTCTCCAGCCATGTATACTGCAGCTAGGGCTGGTGAGAGTTGTTGTAGTGGAAGCTCACAAAAAAACATCTGGAGGGCCAGGGGTTTCCACATGCTTTGAATGGCTGAAGAGATTGTGCTATAACAGTAGTTACAGTCATTTAAACTTGAGCAGGAAGAAAATTCCTGTTCCTTCTAGAGATAGAAGAGATCTAGAGAAACAAAACAAAGTCATTTGTGGAGTTTTTGTATGAGTTAATGAGCCATTAAATATTTGTCTTACAGGTTATGGTGCCTGGGGCAATGAGACTACTAGTACTCAAGGTAAGTCATGATCCAGTGTAATTTAAAAAAAATAGAACAAGAAAAAGAGGCTGTGTATTATAATATGAAAAATGGCATATTTACAGTTAACAATATTAAAAATGAATCACAAAAACCTATTTAACTGCACATTTTTTCTTACTGAGTAGATTATGAAGGGTCATTTTTAAAACTTAGACTTATTACTTAATAAATTACAGCTTCAGAAATCTTTTATATGCTGTATATGTCAAATTTGTAAAATTAACATGTCAGTAAATCCTAACTTTGACTTGTGTAAAATAAAGTACTTTAATTATTTCTTGCTAATTGCAATTTTACCTCATTAACATGCTGCTTATGTCCTATTGTTTTCTTTGTGGAAGAACTTGTCTGATAGTTACACAGATCTTAATCCATCTTCAGATAGTTTCTGATTAATCAGACATGTGTAATATAATTTGTCCAAAATAATAACCTTACATCATCGTAAAATTATATTGATTGATATGCTTAATTTGTGTTTCTGTGTTCTACAAGGTGCTTATGCTGCAAACCCAGCAAGCTGGCAAGGTATGTATTTAGATTGTACTTGCTTCATCTAGGGTCTTTCTCTCCCCCCCCCCAATATTATTTCGGGCATCCTGTCAGTTTACCCATAAGAGAGAATTAATAACGGTATTGCAGCTATATAAAATGGTACTTGAATTCATATAATAACTTCTATTGCTGCACTTGGTCCTACACAGGATCACTTGGTAAACTAGAGAAGAGGTGTCAGCTTGGGGAAACCCAAAGGTCTGCAGAAGTAACAAAAAACCAAAAATAAACTTGGGGAAAAGAACATAAAGAGAAGAGATAACCTTCCCTAAACAGAGACCGACTTAGGACTTTACATGCACAGTAGTAGCCACAGAACATAGAGAGCAAAGTGGGCCAGAAAATTTGGGAGAGAGGAAGATGTAATGGGAGTGACTAATAAAGAGGATGTGTGGCAGTGGAAGCCTGGCAGGTTTCAGAACAGTGCTGGTTTGCTAGCAGGTAGAGTGTGGGGGGTGAGTAAAAGAAGGGAAGAAGTTTAGAGCAGGGGTCATCAACCCCCAGCCCGGGGCTGGTCCGTGGGCTTGCTGGAACTGGGCCGCAGATATGGATCTCCGCCCCCTGCACAGATGTGCGGTGGGCGTGTCACGGAACAAGGAAGTAGGTCAACTGAAGCCTTTATGTTACACACTCCCGCGCCAAGAATTTAAAGGTAATGATGTTATGCCATGGCCAGTGACATAACAGCGTGGCAAATTTACGAGTGAGAATCCCATTTTTGTTAATCCTGGCCCCATCAAGGGAAGAGTGTCTTGACTGATCATGACGTCAGGAGGTGGCTTGAGAAGGAAATTTGACGCAGAAGTACTCTCTCCCATCCCCCCGTCCCATGTTTTATGACAGTGCTTATTGATGCCATGGAACCTCTTGGCCGCATTTCGGTGGTTGTGTGACGTAAAGGGTGCAGTGTTATACCACTTGAGCTGCGAGGCATTATGGGGGGGGGCACATTTGAAAACTGGTTGTTTCCCTGCCCCTCTCCCTTCCTGTTTCCTTTGGCGGTTCTGGTAAAATGGCACCTTAAATAACAGGGTAGGCTAAGATAGGACGGGGTCAAAGCGGCCCTCGGAAGTTGGGGTGGGGGACCGATAGTGAGGGTGCACCTTTTCCCCTCCACCAGTGCCAGGATGGGGAGCCTGGATCAGAAGTCTCCCAATCTCCTCCTGCAGAACCTGTGCTGCCGCATCCTGGGGAAAGGCAAAGGTAATGCCAGGGATCGCCTCCCCAGAGCCTGCAAGGAAGGGCTGCTTGGCTACCAAGCAAAGGTCTGGAGAGAAGAGGCAGGGGGGAGGGTTGGAGGAAGGGCTGCTTTGCTGCTGCCGGAGCCACGTTGCTCTCTGGGCGAAGCAAGCTGGAGGAGGGATCCCGTCCTCCCACCCACCTTCCCAGTAGCAAGGTTGGTTGGTTGGTTGATTGGTCGTGAGACTAGAAATTTGTTTTAAGATGTTTTCAGACATGATAGTGAAAGCCATAAAAGATAGTGGAGAAATCCAAGACTGTGCTATAACTGTAACAGTGGCGGTGGGGGAAGGAACATATAGAGCAAAATTTGAGAAAGGCATGAAGCAGTTACAGTGGACCCTTGACCTACGGAATTAATCCATATTGGAACGGTTTTCATAGGTCAAAAAGTCTGTAGGTCGAAAATGCATTTCCCATAGAAATGCATTGAAAACCATTTAATCCATAACTGGCCCAAGAACCCCCCCACACACAAAAATTTAAAATTAATAAAACTTACCTTTCTGAAGCCTTCCTACCCCCTTCTGGTCTGTAGGTTGATTCTCCAGCCACAAGTCGATTGGAAATCTTGTGGCTGGAGAAGTCCGGACCTCGAAAAGTACGCATGTCTGCTGTATCAGGTGAGAGGAGGAAATCTTGTGGAAGGATCAGGGTGGAGGGTGGTTGGAATGAAAGAAATTAGGAATAAAAGAGAGATGGGGAGCTATGGAAGTGTGGAACTAGTAAAACTAATTACATATCTCAACTATCTTGAAAGCTTTATTAGGGTTGCTATAAGTCAGTTCTGATTTGATGATACAGAATAACAGAGCTAGGCAGCATTTTAGCCTGTTGAGAAAGCACACTTCCAACTTTGTGAGGCAGCACCCCATACTGCTTGTCCACAGAGGGAGAACTTTCTCCCATCAATCCCACAGCCTTTGGTAATAAGTATTTCAGGGCAACATTAAAACATTACCCTATGATGCAATGGCTGAAATCCTGTTGCTTAGTGTTGTAAGTTCATGTCGAGAGTAGTCCCATTGAATCAGTGGAGATTTGGTGAGTGAACTTCTGTGTAAGTTCCATTGATTCAGTGGGCATACTCCAGTTGCAATTTACTGTGCTAAGCAACAGGATTTCAGCTTGTGTGATGTAGTGCTTTGGTATAATTTGTGTTCTGCCCTTTGTTCAGGTAGTATAGGGTAGGTTAAAGAGAATTAAGACAGGATTGAAAAGTCTGAAAGCTCAGTCTCGTGGATTGATGCAACCCAGAGTGGATATATTACTGAAGCAATACAGCTTTACAACATTGAACAGTGGTGCCACAATAAGTTCACATCTCTGACAGGTGTACAATTTTTCTGTTTGGTGGTGATTTCCATAGAATTCGGTATAAGTTTGGGAACTTGAAGTCTTGGCATTTTTGTTGACTGTGCTGCTTTTTCTGTTTCCCAGGATATGAAGGCTATGATTATTACAGTGCCCAAACCAACGACTCCTCTGTAACTGCTGCATACAACTATGATGCTGCTGCTGTTGCAACAACTACCTGGAACACTTCTAAAACTGCTGATATGACAATGAGTGCCGATATGGGCACTGGTATGCCTGTTGTAAATTATAATACTGGGGCAGTGGGCTCAGAAAACAATGACTCTATCATAGCAAAAATAAACCAGCGGCTGGATATGCTATCAAAGGAAAGCAGTGGCACTGCTGGGGAAGGCGTGGAAGATCAAGGAAGGTGACTGCATTTTTCTTTGTTTCTTAAACAAAACTGTGTTTCATGTTCAAGTGAACTTGAATTCAAGAACTTACAGAACAACATTCTTTGACTGTACATAATATTTCCTATTATTTTGATACTCCTATACGCTTGTTTTAGATGGCATGTCTTTGATGCAAAGATTTTAAAAAAGCTGTTTGAGGGAATATTTGTTGCCTAATCTTGTTGTAGGCCACAGCAGTAACTCAGATTTCAAAATGAGATTTCACTTGGTGTTCTTCCATGTCTGTAAGCCACGTGGTCCTGGTTGATCCAGCCATTTCGTATTTTTGTTCTGTTCTTCATGAACCTCAGGAGTTTGTGTTACATGATTTTCACAACTGTTTAAATTACATTGTGCAATTTAGGAAGGAGGGCTGCCTGATAGACTTAGGAGAATTGTTTCCATCTGATTGTCACTTCCTGTTCCTGCCCCAGTTCTAGTTGGGAGCTTTCTTTCTGAAAAGGAAGCTTGAGTGGCGCTTAGTCCACCTAAGTCTCAGCACCTTCTAATTCAGGCCTTTCTCCCAGGAGCATCACATTCAGATATTTGTAAGGTACATGTAAGGTGGGTAGCATTCCAGGAATGGAGAATGCCATTTATAGTCCAGCAAATGTGAAAATCCCATCCTTTGTAGCTTGTTACTTCTAGTAGAGTGAATATACGAAGCTGCCTCACCTAGATCTGCTTAGTCCAGTGTTGTTTCTTCTGACTAGCAACAGCTTTCTAGGCTTGGGGACAGCTCCCTTCCCAGCCCTATCAACAGATAATTTTCAACCAAAAATGCTAGGTATTGGGACCTTCTGCATGAAAAACATGTATGCTGTCACTGGACAATGAACTAAAGAAGTAAATAAACTATGACACCTAAAGTGTGTGTCAGTGTGTAGCTGTGTTAAGTCTACCAGCCAAGCCTTCTATAAATACTGACTCAGTTCCTTTGCTTTTGATGCAGCTCTTTCAGATTTGAGTCTTTTGAGTCCTATGACTCTAGAGCCTCGGTGCCTGATCATGACCTGTACAGAACCAGCTATGACTATAATGAAGTTGGATCAGATCAGAATGATTCTTTTGGAAGCCACTATGATGGTACTGGTAACCAGAGAGATCAGCCCTGCAACAGAGGAAACAACTATGGCTTTGTTAGAGGGAGGGTCCAGAATCGAGGGCATCTAAACACTTTCAGTCGTGATCGCTTCAGGCCATCAAGTACAGAACAGCTGTCTACAAGATGGAATGAGATGAATTACATGGGCGGGAGGAATATGGGGGGGCCTGGCCATAACAGGCTTCCATCACTCTTTTCCCAAGCACTCACCCCTGAGTATAGAGATTATGGTGATTATGGAGAGTATGGAGACTTCGGCAACTACGGGGATTATGATTATGGCATGATGGGAATGCCTGGAACAGGAATGGGAAGATTTCCTGGGAACATGCCCTTTGGCTTTGGGAGGTCTCGTGGCAGAGTAAGTTTAACATGCTAACATTAGGAAATGTAATGTTTATATAAGATTGCTTTTGTTATTAACAAAAATGAAGATGGTGTCATTGTCATGTAGATTGTTGTTAAGATATTTTTTACTTTGTGTTGCAGGAAGTGGGAAGTAATTTTGACAGGAATAGGGTTCTTTAGATATTTCACTCTCACTGGAGCTGAGACTAGTGTTATGCAAGGATGTTTTACTTTGAGACAAGGAAGTATTGGTGCTACTTTAGCAATACTTTGATTTAAAGAGATGGTATCATACATATGCTTTTGTGGAAGAGGACAGATGTAGTAGGAAATTGTGAAACACTCTAAGGTAGTTACATGACACTGATAAACTAGCCAAGAATTTTTTGTTCAATATATGTTTCTAGCCAAAGAGGAGAGCATTCCGTGGTCGTCTCGGTGGTCGTTCAGATAATGAAGGTGGATTGCGTAAACGCAAACAGTTCCATGGTGGGGATGAACCAGACAGCAAACAGCCAAAGACTGAAAGTGAAAGAGATGACTCAGACAATGGTAACAGTCTAATTTTGCCTTGAGCCTTTTAATAGAGACTCTCATGTTGTCTTCTTTTCTTCAGTATAAGGCAGAACTAGGTACACTTTGGTCTTACAAACATTGCTGCACTGCCACCCCAACCAATTAACGCTTGCTAGAGGTGATAGAAGTTGTAATCCAGCAACATTTGGAGAATGATGGTGCCAGCTTTTGTCATAAGGCTTTTGATCACTTCATATAATATGCCATTGTAAAATCCTAATGTTATTGAAATACTGTGGTGAAATTCAGTACTTTTACAGTAGTTTCATTTTACTACAGAAATCAGTACCATGAATCCCTTTAGTAAAAGAGGAAGCAGTCAGCAAAATTAAATCCATCAAAATGTTTTCAGTTCTTCATCACGATCTCTGGCTCACACAGTTATGTTTGCATCTGTGCAGAGTGTTCTTGGAACACTTTAGAGCTGAGCAGCCCCTCTTCTCTTTCCAATGTATTTTCATTTATCAGTATCTGGGAACAGTCTTAGAATTTAAATGTTGCTTTTTCTCTATTATGAAACAGTACTGCTGTTTAAGACTGTACAGAAAGGAAGTGCTTTTCACACAGTATGTCTTATGCATTTGACAGATGATGGAGAAGGAGAGAATAAATCAGGAGATGAAAGAGATAAAGGTGTAAGTAGCTTTCCCCAATGATTTTAAATAACATAATTTTGCAAATGTATCTGGTGTTTACTTACTGGGTGCATTTACAGTGGCTCCACCTAAGATTAAAAATAGATTGTATTATAAACTGGTTCCTTTCTCCCTATTCAAGTTAGGGTCCAGAATTTTTTTAATCTGCTATAAAAGAACTTTGTTTCCTCAAGCCATAATAAAGTATACATGGGCATTTCTCTGATATTGATTGAAATCTAGTAATAAGTTACAATTAGAGGAAGCTTATTAAATAAGTGAAATGTACATAGGTGTTAATGGATCACACCCCCCATTAGTTCAGTGGGTCAACTCTAGTTGTGACTGACTTCAACCAGTGTTTCAAGAACTTTAAAGCATTGAAGATGAAAGGGGGAAATCAGACTTAAAAGGAGAAAAAATAATTAATTTTATCTTATAATGCAGTCCAATTTCAAGGACAGTGTGGTCGTATAGCTAAAAATGAATAATTATCAGGGTTAGTCCAACAAGGCATGTAAGAAAATGAGAGTCGGTGTAGCAATAGAGAAAATCATAGGCTTCTACTGTGTTTCCCCGAAAATAAGACAGGGTCTTAATTTTTGCTCAAAAAAAAACATTAGGCTTATTTTCAGGGGATGTTTTATTTTTTCATGTACAACAATCTACATTTATTCAAATACAGTCATGTCATCTTCATCTGGTGGCTGCACAATGGTGGAGGGTGGGATTTCACTTAACTGGGGCTTATTTTGGGGGTAGGGCTTATATTACGAACATCCTGAAAAATCATACTAGGGCTTATTTTCAGGTTAGGTCTTATTTTCAGGGAAACAGGGTAAGTGATCTTCCGCACACATGAAACTATGCTCTTTCTAAGCACTAATGTAATATATAGTCAATATATCTTTGGCTCAGTCTTTCTCATGTCTCAAGCCAATAAAAAAATTGTACTGTTGCAGGAATGTCTAATTTAAACACATCATTGCCCTGATCCAATGTTATATATGCTCTAAAGTGGATTTGAAAAGGACATACAAGAATCCTAAAGTTTCCCCCTGGAAATTCTGACGTTACCATGAAAACATCTGACCTGGCTTTCAGATTCATGAAATAATGGCTTTGTTCTTGCCTTGCATTTGTTACAATTTTGAAATATCTCCTGGAAGGAATCTGCCTTCATTCAAATATGAAATGTTGTATTTTAAAGAAACTTAAGTCCTTTGGTGTCTGCTCTAAATAAATATCTCATATTATGGTTAGGCATGAATTTATATCACAAACATAGCAATAATACTTTAGAAGACAGTATTCCCAGTGCTATCTTGAGATCCAAATTTCCAAAATCTGTTAGTTAAAACAATGAATTTTTTTATTATTAACTAGAGATGGGTTAACTAGAGAGGAGGGGGGAGGATGAGCCTTGCTGCCAGGTTGAAGAGTAGCTTGCAGACCGTGAGCTCCAGAGTGATAGGGAGGGAGCGCAGAGCCCCTGGCAGCAGAGGAAGGGTGAGTGGACAGTCTGGCTCCAGGGAGCTGGACCCTCGTTATGTCTACCTGTGCAATCTCTATTATTGACATAGTTATATAATACATTTTGTGTGAAACATTTTAGAAATGGAAGAATTAATGGCATTGTGTGGTTTCCCCCTTCTTTTTTAAGGAGCACAAGAAAGGGAGTGAAGCTTTCAAGGGGAAAGGTAGGGTGAAATTCATTCACTAGGCCTGTATTCAGTTCATTCAAATACAAATTAACTCATAATATCTACAGTGACTGTCTATAATATCTAAAGTTAATGTTTGGATTAGTATTACAGCATTTGCAAACCTCCTTGTAAGAGTGATTATTCATAATATAAACAACAGAGCGATATTCCTTATGTCAACAACTAATTGCGGTGGTCTGCTCCTTGGGAGCCGTGTATTAAAGACAAAATATTTAATGCGAGAGAATGTAAAAACTGCCTTCTGAATGAGACCATAAAATGTCAGCAGTGACCAACCTGATTTTTCTGGGAACCCACAAATTGTGTTTGAAAGACGGAAAAAAAATTCTGCTTGCAACATTTTGTAATTAAATTGAATCTCACTCATCTGTTGCTTGTCATTTTATTGCCCATTAAGAAACTTATATAATGTGTGCTTTTTATTATTACACTGAAGTAGCTTAGGCCTGTTCTTAGGTGATTCAAACATGACAGTGTCCACTTAGATGTTACTTGAACATGATTTTACTAAGTTATATACAATCAACACACTATTTTGGGGGTTATTTTTTGTCCGAACATGATTTTACTAAGTTATACTTCACATATACAAGTAACACACTATTTTGGGGGTTATTTTTTGTCAATATTGGGATGTTTGGATGTACTTGGGCTGAAATAGTTTCTTAATGTTACAGTTGTCATCTGAGATCTATAGTTGGTCCTGAATGAAATAGATCAAAAAAAGAAGAAATGGTGAATTAAAAGTGAAAAGATTATTATTAAATTAATATCTTGCTTTAAACAACTTTTTGTAGCAACTGGTGATGGTTGTGAGAACGAGGATGAAGAGACAAAACGAAGAGAGAAACAGAGACAAAGGGATCGAATGCGTGACCGTGCTGTGGACAGGTAATTAAGCAGATCAAAGCCCATTTGCGACAGTTTTATGCACTCCAGTTCTCGTTTCTTGAATAACAGACATGTAGTCGTTGAATACACAGCTTAGTTAATGGAGGATGTCCACTGTCTCTTCAGTTTTGTTCATTCAATTTAGTAAGGCATGATGTATCTTTATTTTATTATTCTCTCAAATCTAAAACACGGTGCAAAATCCAGTATAAATTTTTGTGGCAGGAACTGATGATGTTTATCAGCTTCCACTGGTAAAACTTAAATTATATGAATAAAACTTTCCTATCCCCCGGTATTAGGTTCTAAGGCTCCCTAGGGGTCTCTTGTGCCATAGGGAGCCTCAAAATAACAGTGGAAAAACAGCAGGGAGAAAGGTGGGTTGTGTGAATACATGCTCCCGGTGTGTTTCTTCTGCATTTCATTAAGATATCTCTTTTTTCCCATTTTTATTATTGCCACTTACTGGAAAATATGTAACGTTGTCCTGAGTGTTACTGGTTAGTTATGCTGTTATAAGTGCAATAGTATAAATTGCAATAAAGAATTACTGCTGCCTGTATCCGTTATTGTGGAATGTTGTTATTCCTTTGTTTTATGGCAGTGCATTTACATCACAGTAAGTAACAAATAAGATTCTGGCTTTTTAAAAGATGTAGAACTGGAAGTATGAAGTACCATTTAGTAAGACAGAGAGGTCATCTCAAAGGTCTTTGCACACCTGTGCTGCTTGCTGTAGAGGGGTGAAGAATTCCTCCCAGCAGCTGGTGCCCGAGTCATGGCGACAGTCTCCCAGCCCTCAGTGTGCTGCTGCCATGGGCACCTCCTGGGCTTCCAGCACCTCCCAGTCTACCACATCAGCCCAGCAGCCTTCCTCCTTTTCAAACTCACTCTTGTCCTTATATTTCCAGGCCCCCACGCTTACCTGCACACCTTCTATGGCACAGTCTGCCTTTCTACCCCAGTCTACAGGCAAGCTGCAGGCCTGGAGGCTCACACTTGCTCATGAGGACATGAAAGGCCTGCACTCCCCAACGGAGTCAAAGCTACTGGGCTCACAATTTAATAATACAGTGGTGCCTCGCTTAACGGCGATAATCCATTCCAGGAAAATCGCCATTAAGCGAAAACATCGTGAAGCGAAAACAAAAAGCCCATGGGCTTAAAACTCACCATCCAGTGAAGATCCTCCATACGGTGGCCATTTTAGCTGCTCGTATAGCGAGGAATCCGTCCCTAAACACAGCGGAGAGCCATTTTATTTACCCGGCGACCATTTTGAAACCGCTGATCAGCTGTTGAATAATAATCGTTTTGCGAAGAATCGGTTCCCGAAGCAGGGAACCAATCATCGCAAAGCGAAATCCCCCCATTTAGACCATCGTTTTGCGATCGCAATTGTGATCACAAAAAGATCGTCATAAAGCGGATTCGTCGTAATGCGGGGCAATCGTAAAGCAAGGCACCACTGTACATAATTATGGGAGGCTAGAAATCTGTCTCCTTGGTAACATTTGAGAAGGGGGAAAATGTCAATATACTTTGAGTTTGTTTTATTTCTTGGGGTGTGGAGACAACTCTCCATTCATGTCTTCCCCCCCAAAAAAGCCCTCTCAGTGATGAACCCCTCCCCCTTAAGCTCAAAGAAAGACCTCTCCCACAGTCCCCTGTGCCCCATTCCCTGGTTTTCCCCCCTCTTTGACCCCCTCTTTCCTTCCTCCTCCATGACTCAGGCAGGCCCGAAAGCATCTTCTTGCCCAAGTCCCACACCTGGAAAAGGGGGAGACTCAGGCAGAGCGAAAGATGTTGCTGCTGTGGTAACAGCAGCTTTTTATTTCTGCCACTATCTTGGGTGTCAGCATTCCTGGCATGCACCACATGCTCATCTCATTTAGGCCTCTTTGAGCTGTGCTAACGCTTGGGTCCAAAGGGCTGATGTCAGTCCTCCAAAGGTATTCAAAGGCATTCAAAAGAAATTTAGACAGCCACCCGGCAGATATCTTTTGATTTGTGTTCCTGCATTGAGCAGGGAGTTGGATTCAATAGCCCTATAGGCCCCTTCCAACTTCATGATTCTGTGAACAAGAATGGTTCTTTTGTAGGTAAATCCACCCAAAGGGGTACAGAAATAACTAACAACACTAGGTTGCCTGCAGTTTTGGTTCAGATTAAAGTTATCTATCTGTGGGCAAAGAGAATTAAACTAAAACAGCATTGTTTATACTATATGTAATAGATACCATAATTGCAACTTAAAATAACTGTGTCCACCTCCAAGAAAACACTTCGCAACCCCCATGGTCTAATAGGAGTAAAGCCAGCCAGGCAAGTGACAGATTTTGCACTCTGCTTCTGGCCTGGCCAATTCTACCACCTGAACAACTTTGTGTACCATATTATTTTATTACAGTTCTGTAAAAGAATTATTGTTTGTGGATATCGCAACAAAAACTGAACTTTGATATTGCCATACATATTGTTGTTTCTAAGGACTTTAAACCTTTAAAACATTGACTGGATGAGATTCTTCAGGATGTCAAAGTTTCGACCTTCCTCTTTATTTATGGGATAGCAAGAACAATGGTGGTGTGTTAGGGTTAGTTAAGCAAGTGATAGAACGAGGTTATGATTTTTTGGCTGGAATCCTGTTGCAAAAGTTACGACCATACAACTGTGATGACATCATGAGCTGCAGCCACATTGTGCCTATTCCAGGGAAATTAAAAGGTCCGCCCCTCCTCCAGATTCTGGGAATATACAGTGGTGCCTTGCTTAACGGGCGACGAAACCACATAGTAATTTTTTGCGATCGCAAAAGCGATCACATTGCGATGTTTTAAATGGGGTTTTTTCGCTTTGCGATGATCGGTTCCCTGTTTCGCTTAGCGATGATTTTTTAACAGCTGATTGGCGGTTCCAAAATGGCCGCCAGGTGAAAAAATGGCGGCCCGCTGTGTGTAAGGATGGATTCCTCGCTTAAGAGGCAGCGAAAATGGCCGCCGTATGGAGGATCTTCGCTTTAAGGTGAGTTTTAAGCCCATAGGAACGCATTAAACAGGTTTTAATGCGTTTCTATGGGCTTTTTAAAATCGCATAGCGACGAAATCGCTTAGCAGTGATTTTTGCTGCACAGATTAACATCCCTATGCGAGGCACCACTGTATGTAGATTCCCTTCATCCCGGGGAAGTTTTCACCATTGCTGATTGCACCAGCAGGCTTGTGGGGAAGTTTTCAGGAGCTGAAGAATGAGAGAGGAAACTCTTTCATGTCTGAAAATCACCATTGCTGATTGCACCAGCAGGCTTGGGACCACCAGCAGCAGTTTGGAGTCATTAGAAAGTTCCCCAGCCTATTCTACAGCTCCTAAAGGCATGCCCAAGATGAAGAGGAACCCTAGGGACCCCCAGAACGTGGAGGGATATGGGAAGCTTATAGTTCCTCCCAAATGTCTGCAGTCTGTGACAGTTCCACAACAGGATTCCGACCACTTACTCATGCTTACTCATGCTTTTAAAAACTTAATGTAGTCTATTGCTTCTTCAAGAAATTCTTTTATCTTCGCTGATCTAGGCAGAGTTAAGCTGAGAGAATTTTACAAACTAGTGTACCATGTTGCTGTACTGTGAAAACTTACTATGTCAATAAGCTTTGTTTTTTGTTTATTGTATTTTAAAGTACCAACAAGAGAACATAGAAGTCTTATAGCCTTCAAATCAAAATAGACTGTAGCTACAATTCGGGAATATAGCAAAGATTGTGAGTTTTAGTGTAATAAATAATGCTGGATTGGAGTGACATAGACATTTAGAATTTAGTTCATCATTTCCTAGGTTATGGCAGTACAACAAAGTCAATAATACTTTTGCAAAGAGTTGAATTTCGTAAATTATTTCAGAGTTGCATGTAATATATATAAAAACAACCGTCTTCCTTCAGAATCCAATTTGCTTGCTCTGTGTGCAAGTTCAGAAGCTTTGATGAAGAAGAAATGGAGAAGCATCTGCAGAGCAAATTTCACAAAGAGGTCTTACGATACATTGGGACTAAGCTTCCGGACAAGACTGTAGAATTCCTACAGGTACATAATTTTAAAACTCCTAGTTGTGTGAAATGGAACAACCACTGGACAGTCAAATAAATGGCTTCACCATTTAGTGGTGGGGATTATTTGTTGCCTAAAATGTTGTCAGTGGTAAATTGTTGCTAGATCATTTGTAACATGCTTCGTGATTGTGAAAAGCAGTTGCCATATGACAGCACTCTTTTTTTCATGTGTTTTGTGCTTTATGCTTTTCCATAGAGGAAAATGAATTTCCGGTGGCATATGTGAAAGTATTCATACCTTTAAGAAGGAAATGTTACTGATTCATGAACTTGAGTGAGCAGTATGTCGTGTAGCTTTTCCATTCATATTTGTGGAAGTCATATGTAATAACTTGGTATTTTCTTCTTAATTCCCAGAAGTATATTGTGAACAGAAATAAGAAAATAGGGAAACGCAGACAAGAACTAACAGAGAAAGATGGCTCAAAACCAAAACCAGACCCTTTTAAGGGTAAGTGAAATATTATTTAGATAAGCCTGGACGTTGTTACTTCATTACTTACCATCTAGAATAGTGGTTCCCAGCCTTGGGTAAACCAGGTATTCTTGAACTGCAATTCTCAGAAGTCTTCACCACCAACTGTGCTGGCCAGGGTTTCTGGGAGTTGCAGTCCAAGAACACTTGGATTACCCAAGGTTAGGAACCACAGATATAGAACATTGGTTCCTAAATGGAAAACTCACAAAAGCATGTGCAAATCCTAAAACAAGATTTAGCAAGATATGGATTATCATCAAGGAGGTAGAAGGCATTAATGATTGTGCTGTGAGGACAGAAAAACAAGGTAACACTTATTGGTACTTCAGTCTTTTTCTTCACAACCCTAGTGCATGCTTTTTTAAAATTTATATAAATTGAAACTAGAACTTTAAAAGACAGTGATTAGGCTATGGTAGGGTGAAACTGCAAGATTTGCTTATTCCAGAGACCTGGAGTTAATTTTGACATAAAGATAGGAGTGCAGGAAATTAACAAGATCATGAGAGACTTGCTTCACAAAGACTTCCTTTAAGTACTTTGAAAGAATCCTTACATCCAACTTTTTCATAAAGGTTTCAAGGTTGGAGGAAAGATATGCACAGGAAATTTTATGTTACAGCGCCGTTATCATGATGTTAGCTTTCCATATATCTGAGTCATATTACCCTAGAATATTGTGTGGTGGTGTTAATATCATAATGTTGTGACTGGTGATGTCTTAGATGTTTCTGTTTAAAACAGTTAATGTTGCCAGTTGGTAGAAATGTTGTTAGAACTATTTGTGTTCCCCACTTGTGGGCAATATCTAGTTCATGTTGCACTTTTTCAGGAATTGGCCAGGAACATTTTTTTAAAAAGATAGAAGCAGCTCATTGCATGGCTTGTGACATGCTAATTCCTGCACAGCAGCATCTTCTTCAGAGGCACTTGCAATCTGTTGATCACAACAGGAATCGCAGGGTAAGCAATATTTGTACTTCCTCAAATTATCCTAATTAATTACTTTGAAAGATAAGTTTCAGAATGCAGCCCAGCGCATGCTTTTCAAATTAGTTCCTGCTAATTTATTCCTCAACAAGTGAATGCAGGCTTGCAATCTTGCTCACTACTTCTTTGGATTGATATTCCAAACTTGACCCTTAATCCAGTTTGGGATTTAAAGCTTCAGGTTGCTGTAAATCCTAAACTGTTTGTGAAGTAGAATACTTTATTCAGTCGAGTAGTTATTTCACTGTATGGTAAGATCAACTATGTGTGATGCCCTGCCCAGAAGGCAGTCTGCTTCAAGTGGCAGGAAGTTTCTGTGTCTTCTTAAAAATAAAATGTACAAGTAACCTGCCTGTCATTGCTGTTCAAGTGCAAAAATAGCAACTGTAATGTGGCTGGGAGAAAAATCAGATCTAACATATTTATAATGTATGTTGCACGAAAGACAAGTTAAACTACATTGTGTGAAAGTGGGAAATTATTCTTATGTAAAGAGTTGTCTTCCTTAAAAAAATTTTATTTAAAATATTTTTCCTTGAAAAGGACCCAGGGCGACTTACAACAATGAAAGACAATATTTAAAGTTGAAAATGAGTATACAATCGTGGTTAGCATCATTAAAAAACAATATTTAGAACTACAAACATGAATAAAGAGACATCTTACATCATTAACAGGCAATAGCAAAGCAAAGATCATTAAGTGTTAGATATGGGGGTATTTGTATATGAATATGAATATTCCCGCACAGGTGTCGTTAATGAAGGTCCGGTCCACTCACCGATCCGACACGGATGGCACAATTCTGCGAATGGCTCTGCAGCACGCAATCCGCTTGCTGCTCTTCAACCTTGCAGTGAGGCTTGTCCTTCCACCTCGTGCCAGGAGTGGCGAGCGGATCATGTGCTGCGGAGCCATTCGTAGAATCGCTCCATCCACAGCGGATCGGTGAGTGGACCATCCAGGCCCATGGGGTTGGACCCTCATTAACGCCACTTGTGCAGAGATAATACGAATACCCCCATCTCTATTAAGTATAGTTTTTTTTTAAAAAATGCCACTCTGAGAAATGGAAAACAAGTACAATCCAGTCAGAGCAGTAATGTATAGCTATCTATCTAGAAATCACACACAGTTAAGCTAGTTACTATATAATCTATATAAGTGTATTTAGGAAAGGAACAACTATTAAATATAATTCTTGTTTGTATTTAATAGTTGTTAACTGACTGTTGGAATAAGGTCAGTTTGTTTAGCTGATAGTGAAGCAAGCTCACTTTGATGATAGAAACACCTAAAAAGAAATATTTTACTTCATATACATACCAGTTTCCTGTATTCATCTATAAAAGCTTGGTCCATTTTTTATTATTTTAGTTTTGATCCAGAGTTGACCTTCCATGAGCAAAATACATGCTTTTGTTGAATAAACCTCTGAAATACATAAAGGCTCCTGTTAGAGAAAGAGGGAAAGCAGTTTCAGTTAGTTGCCCTCTGACACACCCACCCTAGCAGCTGCTCAAACAGATTTTGGGGTATACAGATAATTGCAGAGGGAAGGAGTCATCATCGGGAATCTTCTACCCTACCTCTTTCTAAAGCTGGAGATCCAATGGGTAGAGAACTCACATGAATATTAATTATAGCCCATGTGATATAAGGGTGCCTAGGCAAAAGCTTCATCAAATAGTCTTTAGCAATACATATTTTCCTGTATCTTCTGATACACTTTCCAACATCTTTGAAGTAGCCCCTCCTTCAAGTCAGTAAACACTGTTCTTATATGTTTTTTGTAGATGGCAGCCGACCATTTCAAGAAGGCTAGTTTCCATGTAGCTAAGAGTGTCCTGAATAGCAAGCACATTGTGAAAATGCTGGAAAAGTATCTCAAGGTAAGTAAACAGGATATTCATTGTTCAGTCATAATTTTCTCTTAAAGCAAAGGAACATGAGCTCCAGCTTGGTCTTAATGGAGCAGTCCATTAGAATTGCATTGTGTGCTGCATATGCCAGTCATAAAATGGAGGGAAACAGAGTTGCTTCTTTTCTTTCTTAGGCATACTTTGAACCTAGAATAGTTTCTGTTTCTTCAAGTAGTTTCCCTCCCCCCCCCCCAGATGTGTTGGATATTCACACTAGCAGCAACTAGCCTGCATATAAGATATGGGGAGCAGCCAAAGACACTCAAATGGAAGTCTGACAAATTGACAAAAGAGATGCTGCTGTTCTTTGGACTAACATCTGACAAAAAGTATAAACAGCTTTGCGCCGAAGGGAGCATTGGGCCCAAAGTAAGCATTATTTGCAGAATTATCTGGTTTGGGAATAAAGTGTGGTGTTCCCTACCCACAGCATGGGGGTGCACTTCATTTTGAGTGAAAATATAGGCTTTGATTTGATTTTGATAGCAAGTTAACAGTGCTGACTGGAACACAATTTCCAAGTCAGTGTATTTGTTGTTGCTCGTCTCTTTTTCCCTTGCGCCAGAAGACTGACATCAGCTGATGTCAACTGTTCCAGACAATGCATGACTGAGAGCTGAAAAGATAGCATGGTTTCCAAATCAAGGGATGAGAAGCCCCTAATGGGAACAGCATCTGTCCAAATGGGCATTTAAGGTCCCGCATGGACACGACTGCTTGTCTGTCAAGGGTTTGCCTGTGTAGGACACATGGCCATGGGTGAGTTTCACTTCTGGAATGTAACCATCTGACCAGGTGAAGATGAAAAGGAGTAAGTTAGGCTGCTACTGTGTCCTGGGTATCCAGAGCAACCCAAGCTTCAGTGGGACTCTCTTGTGGCAAACGTAATTAATGAGGAGCATATCATGCCTTTGCCATCTTTATTACATGTCTCCCCAGCCCATTCATCTGGCAACACTTTGGTCTTATCCAGACTGACCATATGCAAACTGTCCAGTCTTTCCTAGGCAACATTAGCAAAACTGAGACTCCGCTCTCTGGGCCTAGTGAAAGAGCCTTTGAGCTGATAACATCAGCCTGTTGTTGGCATTGATTACCTGTACACTGAGGCTGTCTTCCCTTTGCGGCCTCTCATACACGTTGAACAGGAGGGGTGACAGAAAAAAACCCTGCGGTAGCTCACATGAGAGAGCCCTTGGGGCAGATGAGCAGTTGCCCAATGCCACCCTCTGGGATCTCTCGGAGGCAAAAATGGAACTACTCAAGCGCAACTCCGTCTACCCCTGCTAGGGTCCGCAGGTGCCTCAGCATCACCTCATGATCAACAGTATCAAAGGCTGCCTACAGGTCTAACAGAATCAGCATGGACACCTGACCTTTGTCCATCATCAGGAGGAGATCTTCGACCCACCCAGCAGTCTCCGTACCATACCCAGGTGCAAAATCAAGCTGAAAGGGGTGAAGGAAATCTGAGGATTCCAGGTAATGCCAGAGCTGCCCCATCAAAAATCTTCTCAGCACCTTGCCCAAGAAAGGAGGGCTGAAGGGAGGCTGAGTCTGTTGGCATCAAGAGATAATTCTTGAACATTGCTCTGATGCTTCCTCCCATAATGTATGGTGGCATCTTGCCTTCCTGAGGAAGCCTATGACAGTCTCTCACAAACTGGGGACTCAGAATTACTCCCCACCCTTTATTTAAGCTGGCGATTGATGGACAAATCCCAATCGCAGGGTAGAGCCCGTGGAGCTCTGTGAAACTGAAAACCTAAGTGAAACTGATTGGCTGATTTTCAGCCAGAGAAAATAACACCATTTGTTGTTTTTCACCTGCATGGGTCTTTCATGGAGGCAGTTAGTCTGGTCTAAATTTGATCTAGTTAGGCCATAAAACAGAAATACTATGTTGTTGGGAGCGGAAATCTCTAACTGAAATATCAGCCCAGTTTTCATGTGAGTGGCCCCATGGACACAGATGAAGGAGGACCTGCTCTCCTGTGCTTCCTGTGTGTAGGAGTTCAGGAATTGTCACTTGCATTTGCACTAGATCTCTGCCCCTTGAATGCTGCCTTCTTCCCTTGTAAACCTGTTGCAGGTCAATCATATACATGAGGGATCTGCAAGAGGAAGGAAATAATTTTAAGCTTTGTATTCCAGTACAGGACAGGTAGTGGTTTTGAGAACTGGTGAAGCAATAGTGTACATTTTCTTTTTTGTATGATGTTTTCTTTAGTAAAGAACAGAAATTTTAGTCAGAGGCAAGGCAACAGCACTGTCCTCATTGTTGTCAGTAGTGAACCCTGACCATAGTCGTAAGATTACCCTAACTTCTGTAAGAGTGATTCGTAGTATAATCCTCATGTACTTTTATTGGACACAAACAGTGTTCTGCTTATTAAAATTACTAAAATGTGAGTAGCCATCATTAACTTATAGCCATTTGTCAGCATCTGGCCTTTGCACTTGAAATAGTGATAGGACAGCTGAATATGTCTTAGTTGCAGCAATCACTAGTCATTTCATAAATGTGTTTTTCGCTTGCCACTGCACTGAGTGTTCAAAAGGAAGTTTAAAAAATGAGCAGCCTTCAGAGATCATAGTAGTGCATTTTTGCTTCAGGGCTTGCCACTTTCCTATTTTAGCATTGCCTCTCTCTGATGCTACAGTGAACACTTGGCAAATTTCATTCCACTTGTACTCTTTTGAAGTGGAGACTTTGCCAGTTTTTAAATAGTTCCATAGAAGTGAAGATTCTGGCAGGCATAAGTAAAGCAGTTTACTAAAAATGTAGTCTGTTCAGTGTATGTAGCTTGAGGCAAAGGAGAGGTTTGTGCTAATCTACTTTGAAACAAGAGTTCTCAGTTTTCAATTACACAGTTGCAAACTTCTGCATTCTAGGTATGAAGCACTCTAAAAGAGGTCCAGATAATGCTACAGCAAGCATTGATAATGCTATGCTTCCTCCTTTTATCAGGGTGATGACCCATTCACAGATGAAAGCACTGAACAAGATGTTGATGACTCTGAGGCCTTGGAGGCGGCAGATGGTGAAAGGGCTGCAGAAGGTACTGCTATAGAGAACATTGAGAATGAGATCAAAACCCCTGAAGTTGATGAAATTGCTAAATTGGAAGGGGATAAGGGAGCTTGCCCCACTGAAGATTGTTCTAAAGATGAACCTGTAGAGAAACACCAGCAGATACAAGAGGCACAAGAGCAGGCACAAGGAACAACTAAAGAACTGGCTATGCCTGATCAGGGAATCTTTGAAGAGAGAGCAGTGGAAGGCCAAGTGGAAGTCCAGCAGCCTGTGGAGAAAGGAGAGAACTCTTCCGAAATGGCAGCAGTTGAAAACAGTGATGTCCAGGAGGAACCGATTGTGGTAGCAAGTTCAGAGCTGCCACAGAGAGTGGCCATATGAATGATTGTAAGAAGATGGTTTGTTCTGCTTACATGTACAGTATTTCCCCATCCCTCCCAAATCTTATGTCAGTGCAGTACATGCGTGTACATTGCTGGAGTGCTGCCAGTTTTGGCCATTTTGCTGGAAGGTATTCAGTTTGTTTGTATTGAAGCAGTCTTGTGCTTTATTGCTGTGTAGAAAATGGAAATAGAAAAGTCTTTTTTCATTTGTAGGGTTAGAGAGTTCAGAAAACTAACTTGATACCTCCTTGCATTTTAGAATAAGTAGCACTGTTTGAAGATCAAAATGGTTGATCCTTCAACTCTTATCAGTTATTCAATTTTCCAATTGTGAAGGAATCCGATTTCATTTGGAAATTATATCAACTTTCTTGTTAATTAGAAAGTACATAATTATGTTTTTATGCTTTCCTATCCGATTACTCAGTTGAGTTCTAGAAAAAGGACTTACTGCCATGAGGACTGTTAATTTCATTTATCCAGTTTGCAGTATTGCATGAAAAATGGCATCTCTGATGATGATTTTATGCACCAAATTGATTGTGTGATATTTATGTGGTGCAGTGTTTTAGATTTTTCTTGTAGTAAGCTGCAGCTTGTACATTATGCTAGTAGAGAAGCATAGCCTAATGATGAAAGTTATGCCGACACTGAAAAGCATCCTTACTCCCCATGATTCACAGAATAGATTGCCAAATACAACCTTGGAAGAATTTCCCAAATAAGAGTTGATTTGTTAGTGTTATGACTAATGCTTATAGCATAAAATTTTAAAGTGGAATGAATATTTTAATCTTATTTTGAATGATTGTAGTCCTTTGTTGTATGTGGCATTTAAATAAATTTCCCAATCTGAAAACAATTATCTTGTTAATTTAGTGGGCAGAAAAATATGTGGTGTATACATTGTCACATCATTGCTGAAGACAGAAACGCTTTCCAATACGTAAGATCCACAATCATAGCTGCAAGAGAAATTATTTGTTACACAGAGATTCTGCTGGTTATGAAAAAGATAAATTTTAACTACAGCTTACAGTGGTGCCTCGCATAACGAGCACACCGTTTAACGACGAATCCCCATAGCGATCTATTTTTTGTGATCGGTAATGCGATCGCATTGCGATGTTTTGAATGGGAAAACATCACATTGCGATGATCGGTAAGCGTTTCGCTTACTGATCTTCGCATTGCGATGTTTTTAGAACAGCTGATTGGCGGTTCCAAAATGGCCGCCGGGTGCCCAAAATGGCCGGCGCAAGCATTTTCACGCGGTTTCCTCGCTTACCGAGGCAGCGAAAATGGCAGTGCTATGGAGGATCTTCGCTGAACAGTGAGTTTTTGCCCCATAGGAACACATTAAACAAAGTTTAATATGTTCCTATGGGGTTTTTAGTTCCGTTTAGCGATGTTTCCAGATAGCGACGAGTAATCCGGAACGGATTAACGTCGCTATGCGGGGCACCAGTGTATTTCTTTCTCAAATGTTTTGTATTTCTGGCTGGCATTTATAAGAAATAAATTGGTCTTTAAAATAGTCCTGACATTTTATTGTACTTAATTGCCTGGTATAACTTACTGTATTGTTTTGGAGAATGGGCTTTAAACTGAAATGTTGGTATTGGACTGGATTGGGCAAATAAAAAGAGAGATGTCCAGAAAGAGTTACTGAGTGGTAGTAATAGGCTGAGATGACAGTCAATCTATGTTAGACGGATCACCCATTCATGTTGCATTATGATCAGACAAACATGTTTGGAATCACCAGTAAAGAGTGCAGCATTAAATAATAAATGTCTTGTTTTGCAATTGTGCTCTAGGACAGCAAAGCAATTTTCAGTGCCAGTAAAAGCTGAATTCTATACTCTACTCATTTTTAGTACAGATCTGCATAATTTTACTGTGCTGTGATGAAAAATTCTACTTCTAGATGAATTCGAAGCATTTTTCCTTCAGTTATACATTCAGAATGGGTGCAGCTATTTTTATAGACTGCCAAAGAATTGATGCTTTTGAATTGTGGTGCTGGAGGAGACTCTTGAAAGGAGATCAACCCTGAGTGCTCACTGGAAGGACAGATCCTGAAGCTGAGGCTCCAATACTCGGCCATCTCATGAGAAGAGAAGACTCCCTGGAAAAGACCCTGATGTTGGGAAAGTGTGAAGGCAAGACGAGAAGAGGATGAGATGGCTCAACAGTGTCACCGAAGTGACCAACATGAATTTGACCAAACGCCAGGAAGCAGTGGAAGACAGGAGGGCTTGGCGTGCTCTGGTCCATGGGGTCACAAAGAGTTGGACACAACTTAAAGAGTAAACAACAATAATCTTTATAGTATACATACATCATCTGAGAAGAGACCTGTTAGCATGGCAATAAACAAATTCCTGAGGTCACAGTATTATGAGAGGCCACCACGTGCCCAATAATGGCAATAATCAAGAGAATGACTTTGGTAACTTGAGCTAGGTTATTTCTGGTTATTACATATAGTATTTTATTTATTACAGTTCTACCCTGCCCTTCTCCCTGTAGACAAACCATTTTAAACAAATGGCTTAAAAACACAAATATTACATTACAAATATAAAATGACAAATATAAATATCACATTACTAAAAAACAAATTATTGAGAAGCACAAAATATATCCCTGCTAAAACACACATTTGAAAAAAAGATAAACAATATTCCCTTTAAAATCCCTTCCTCAGCAACTGTTTACATATTAAAAGCTTACCTGCAGAAAGGGAAGGGCCAGCCTGGTCTCCTGTAGAAAAGAGTTGGTTGCTAAGCTTTTACCAGCAACACTGTGCGAAGCAGATTACATTACATCTACCTACCCTTGCACATATGGCGAAGCTGTATTTACAACAAAACTTTTTGGACCAATTAATGTCCTGATTAAGAGATTGGCACGATTTTTTTTAAAAAATCAACTTTGTTTTAAAAATTGCTAATTGTTGATTCATATGAATTGATGAATCATTGCCATGATCAAAATTAAAATATTACCAAAAATAACTTTTTTATTCAGGATGCTCCCAATACAATTAGAAGATTTTAAGTATTGGCAGGGATTAATTAATGGATTTTGTAATCAAAGTAAAAAATCTAGAACAAATAAAAGATATTGGTATAAGGCTCAAAAATGGAACTAATATAAAAAATTATATAGTGAACCAGTTAAGATTTATTGGAGATATTATATACAATAAAGGAAGATTAATTTGGTGGGATATGGAATCCTCAGAAATAAATGGGAACATTGAAAAATACTTGTTTAATGTAGTAAAAAGAAATACAATAAATCAAGTGAACAACCCTTTTTAAAGAAACATGTTAAATATTTGGAGTAGAAATAAAAAGAAGTCATGTCCCTTTACTTCACCACTAAAATTAGTGGCTGAAATAGAAAATTTCCCAGCAAACTTGAAGGGTTTAGCTGATACGTTTAAGGACAAAAAAGTTGCCAGATTGAAAGATTGGATGATTAAAATGAGATTGAAGGATCAGATTATAGTTAAACTTCAAACTAATAAATTATGGTATAATTTGTTACGATGTCCAAGTTACACACTCACAAAGAGTATGACCAGAAAAGTTCCCCTCAGACACCACCTAGAGACACCAAAATCACAGAGAAGCTTCCGCTGACTCTATGATCCCTTCCAGTTTGGTGAAGATTGTTTTTTCCCAAGCTGGCTGCTAAAGGAAACTTTCCTGTGGGTTGGAGTGAGAAACCATTCACCACCAAACTTGGAGGGATTGTAGAGGAGTCAGTAGAAGCATCTCTGTGATGTTGGTGTCTCTAGGTGCCTGGTGGAAACTTTCCTGGGGGGCCCTCCTTGCAGGTGTGTAACTTGGACATCTGAAACCTCAAACTTGCAGGGCTTGTAGAAGAGAGCCAGAAGGACAGGAACGAGGAGCCTAGTTCTGGTCTCCCATTGGAGGGAGTTCCAAGGCTTTAGAACCAGGCATCAAAAAAGACCATCTCCCATGTCCATACTAATTGTGCCTGTGAGGGCAGTGGAACAATAGAAGATCATAAAGTGCTTCGGAGGCACGATCGGCGGTGAGGGGACTTCCGAGGTGCCTCCCATGGTGGCAGAGAAGCCCTGGAAGGCATCCGGAGGTCCCCTGCCACCGCTGGGAGCCGCATCACGCCGGGCGATCCCGGCCATGCTCAGACTCCTGGACTTCCCCTGCCGCCACCGCTGCTGGAAGCTGAACCGTGCCTGCTCGGACAGCGGCGGTGGCGGGGGAAGTCCATGAGTCCGTCCAGGGCTTCTCCACTGCCATGGGAGGCATCTTGGATGTCCTCCCCCACCCCCGCCGATCATGCTTCGGAAGCACGATCAGCAGTGGCGGAGGACCGCCGAGAGGCCTCAGATGGCGGTGGGAAAGGCCTCCGGAGGTCCCCCCCACCGACACAGACTTTCCCTGGGGAGTAGACTGGGCCTACTGGGGGAAGCCCTCCCCTGGTAGGCCCAGTCTACCAGGCTTCCTGGGTTTGATTTGTCACAGGCGTCACAAATTGAACCAATCTACTCAATCGGTACCATTAAAGCGCGGTACCGTAGCGTCGAAACGCCACTCGCCAGAGGCTCTTCTAGATACATCAGCCTCTTCATATCAACAGGGATTCTTATCATCACCTATACAATTTCCCAATACTGAATCTTCAGATTCAATGGTATTGCAAGAATCACCTCCCAATCTCCGAACACCTGATTCGGATGTGGCCGATACCAACCTTCCATCACCATCGGAGGATTTCTCTTCATCCTCTCAATTAGTTCTGTGCCTTGCGAAGGCCATGGATCTGGATATGCAACAACTCCAATCAGAATCAGACAGTCTATGAGGATATCAATGAGGATCAAATTCCTCCACTCCGGATGGGGTTCATTCCATCCTTTCTTAAATTGATTAAACAATTGTGGTCCAAACCATCCCCGGTACCACAAATCTCTCAAAGAGTCGAGAACCTATATAAGCAGCATGGTCAAATACTGAATTTCTCTCCAAACATCCACCTCCCAATTCTGTAATTGTGGATGCAACACAAAATAGGTCACATACTCATTCTAACACATAGGTCACATACTCGTTCTAACACTACTCCCAACAATAAAGAAGAGAGGAAACTTGACATTATTGGATGCAGAATTTACTCTCTGGCATCGTTCACCCTCTGTGCTGCCAATTATCTAGCAGTGATGGGGGGGGCTATCATAGATGCCTTTGGAACAAGGCCCTTCCAACCTTGCAATCAACCCCTGGAGAATACAAGCCTCGCGGCCTCGCCTTTCATCAAGATGCTATGGCATTAGCACACCAAGAACACATAACAGAACGTCACATAATTGAGGCAGCTTCTAGATATATGGCCACTGCCTGTAGCTCTACGGAGACATGCTTGGCTCTGCTCAGCACGCATCGCCGATGACTCTCGTATGTGCATTGAGGACTTACCTTTTGATGGCATCAGCTTATTTGACAAGACGACAAACGAAATACTAGATAACCTACAAAAGAGAAAGACAGCGCGTTTGTACAACACTCAGCTGTGCTACAGGCCCCAAAGATATCAATGGTACCGCCCTTATTCTTTCCACCAATTCAAATCCTTTCCAGAAAAGCAAAGATACCTACCTCAATCATCTTCCTCATAGCAAAATTGACAGTACACACGGCAACAGCGTCCTCAACAGTCCTTCCGACGACTTGATAAGAAAATCAAGCAGAATCTTTGACTCTCCTATCATCCAGATCCGCTCTCTTCATATCCCACTATCCACCACCACCCGCCTAGCAGCCCATTTTCCATCTTGGGCTTCCATCACCACCGATTTTTGGGTCCCGTCTATAATATCCATCCATTACGCAATAGTGTTTCTGTCACTCCCACCTCCCAAGATAGTCCTAACTACATCATCAAACGCCCTGGAACAAGAGATTCAATCACTCCTCTTGAAGGATGCTATTTCAGTAGTCATCCCACAGGACGATAACCCAGGTTTCTTCTCCCCTTATTTCCTTGTCCCCAAAAGAGACAGAGGTCTCCAGCCCATCCTCGACCTTTTGGGACCTGAACTATTTTATCCTCCAGAGATGTTTTTGCATGGTGACGCTAAAACATATTCTTCCTCTTCTTCAAGGAGGAGGCTGATTTGCTGTCATCACTTGAGCGATGCTTATTTCCACAGCTCAATCAGACAGGATCATCGCAAATTCCTACGATTCTCTCTCAGCCACACCACTTACAAAGTCAGAGCCCTACCATTTGGCGCCTACACTGCACCGTGGGTATTTACAAAGTGCATAGTCCCTGTGGCCGCCCATCTCCGCACTCTAGGAATCTCAGTGTTCCCATACATTGACGATTGGCTGTTAGTATCCCTGCCACACTCAAGCTCAGTGCAACATCGCTCTCACTCTTTTCTTAGTGGATCTGGGCCTCAGGGTCAATATGGACAAATCTGTCCTAACTCCCTCACAGAATCACCTATATAGGCGCCATCAGATTCTCAGGTCACACGGGTGTTCCTTCCTCAAGAGCACTGAAGATACACTCTCTTGTCCAATATTTTCAGCCTCATGCATTCGTAACTGCTCTTCAGGCTCAACGCCTTCTAGGCCTCATCACCTCCACCATGTCAGCCATACAGCATGCCTGATTAAAGATGCGCTCCTTACAGGCATGGTATCTCTCTTTTCGACCCCCTCTCCGACCCACCTACCAAGATCCTATAGATCACTCCCGAACTCGCAGCTCAATTGATATGGTGGATTACTCCGACCAACTTCTTTCTCTGCAGACCCTTTGCATCCCTCCAACTGACAACTCAAATTACCACCAATGCCAGTCCTATTGGCTGGGGTGCACATTGCAGAAGCCTACACATTCATGCCACTTGATCTCCTTACGAGAAGACTTCAGATCAACAAACTGGAATTACTGGTGATCTACAAAGCGTTCCGCGCCTTTGAGCCTCTCATTACCGGCAACGCTGTACAGGTGACTACAGACAATACCACAGTGCTTTACTATATTAACAAGCAGGGCGGAACACACTCACTACAGCTCCTGTACCTTGCCGTTCAGTGGTGTCTAGCCCGCCATGTTTTTCCCATAGCGATCCATATTCCCTCCCAACACAACCAACTTGCGGAAACTCTCAGCAGATGGAAATCAGAAACAACTTTAGGCAGGAAGGAAATATCAGAGTAGAGTGTGACTTTGGGTGAAATTGCAAGAATGGGGGGTCCACTCACAGATGACTGTCACCTTTCATTATCTATGCTTACGGTTTACCTATCAGCAATTGTAGCACACCAACCCGCGGACTCTGGTGCTGCCTCATTATTCAAACATCTGACCTTAAAACAATTACTACGAGGTGTGGCTAACTTGCGACTGACCAGGCATGTTCCACTGCCACAATGGTCTTTGCATACCATTCTCCAACACCTTACACTACCACCCTTTCAACCTCTCGCAACCTCATCTGAACGGCTTCTCTCATTTAAAGTTTTATTCTTGGTAGCTATGACATTGGCACATAGAGCAACCGAACTTGCAGCTCTGCAAGTGGATCCCCCATTCTTGCAATTTCACCCAAAGTCACGCTCTACCCTCATATTTCCTTCCTGCCTAAAGTGGTTTGATTTCCATGTCCGTCGGCCTATCATCTTACCTACCTTCTTCCCGCAGCCATCAACAGATCTTGAGTGATCCATCTCTTGGATGTCATGAGAGCCCTAGCATTCTGTGTGAAAAGAACAGTGCCTTTCCGCAAGACTAAGAGACTCTTTCCACGCATCTGCCACATACGGGAACTCAGATTTCCCCCCAAAAATATCTCACGTTGGATTGTCCACACCATACGTCTTGCTTATGAACTTGCAAAGAAACCGCTGCCTCCTGACATTAAGGCACACTCCACCAGAACAGTGGCTACTTCTACTGCCTTTCTCAAAGGCGTACCTGTTTCTGACATATGCAAGGCTGCTACTTGGTCAACTCTGTCAACTTTTGCATCCCATCATCGATTGGATGTGTGGGCCAAGTCGGATGCTGCCTTCAGACGAGTGGCATTGGTTTCTGTTCTTCCATGACGTCCCTCCTCCTGTCAAGTAAGTTTGCTAGTCACCCATTAGTGTGCATTCACAGAGACCATGAAGAAGATAGGTTACTTACCTGTAAGTCTGGATTTTTGAGTGGTCATCTGTGAATTCACACTTCCCGACTGTTCTTCTTCGTGGCCTCTGTGAAATCACACTAATGGGTTAATCTGCGCTTGCGCAGAGGTCTCAGAATATTCTAGAGCTTAAAGTAACACTTTTGGCTCCGCCCCCCAGGACCTCATGGTCCGCCCACCCTAACATTATTGAGGATTTCTCTTCGTTTTGGCTCCTTTTCATCTTCAACGTTTAAGGAAAGTAAAATACTTTGTTATTGGAGGGGAGGTGTTCCTTTCGGACTCGTTGCTCTTTCTTCCCCTTCCCTCCATTCCCCCCCGGACTGTTCCTGCCTTTTTTTGTATGGCCTCCAAGGCCCCTAGATCCCCCAAGGTCACTTTTAAGAGCTGTGTGGCCTGTGGGAAGAAGATCCCCTCCACCGATGGTCACCGTTTGTGTTTGTTTTGCCTTGGAGAGACGCACGTTCCTCAATCCTGTCGACATTGCGAAAGTTTTACCAAGCAGGGGTTGAGACTTAGAGAACAGCGTCTACGTGCAGCCCTTTGGGAGAAATCTCTGCGCCCTCCGGATATGGCGGCAGCTACTTCAGCGATGGACCCTGATCCTTTACCAGACTTAAAATCTAAGGAAAAGGGTAAAGCTCCTAAGAGCAAAGCCAAGGCCAAACCGCCGTCCAAATCGTCAAAGGCTAAGGCTATGGCCTTGCCACCTCTGCCACCTCTGCCCTCTCCTCCTCAAGGTACTCCTATCTTAATACCACCGACGTCTCCGTCGTTGCCAGTGTTGACCCCACAGTCTCCTATTGAGGTCCCTTCTCAGGGCTCCTCGCCGCCATCTTCTTCGCCAGCTCCACTTCCACCTACACTGGTGTTGCCCTCACAATCTTCTCCTACTAGAAAGAAAAAAACAAAGACCAAACATTTGGTGCTATCTGCTGGAAATTCCCGGTCTCCGAGACACTCGGGACCGAAGGTCTCCCCCCATGGGGCTCGACATTCTCGCCCCAAAAAGAATAAGAGGCATGCGCTAATGGGGGACGCGCCGCCTCTTAAGCTCTCCAAGAGCTACCTTAAGAAGTGGAGAAAGCAGATGCAAAAGCTCTACGACCCGTGTCTTCTGTATAGCCTTGCTACTAAGGACTCGTCTTCGGACTCCTCTTCGTCTTTGTCGGATTCCTCTGACGAATTTCTGTCTCCTCCGGTATTGCCCTCTCCCGATACCGGGAAAAAGAGACACCGCACATTACTGACCGATCTTCCGGTACCGAAAAAAGCGAAACACGGCTATCCGCCTGTTTTCCCAACGCTACCGCACGCGCCGATACCGATGAACAACGAACCGCCGTACCCGATTCCCCGGGACGGTACCGACCCTACCGGTACCGCGCCTCCCAAACGGAAGTGTTCAAACCCCGTGGCACCTTTGGTACTGCAGCCGAAGAAGAGGCACCATCACCCTTCCTCTGATTCTGATTCATTCCAATTGGATCAGATTGGTACCGACCGGGACTCCGATACCGATGATGACCCTGATACTGGCAACGCAAATCCTCAAGATACCGGTGGTCCACAGGGTCACGGTACTGACCCTCTTCCGGGACGCGGACATAAGAAGCGCACGCCTAACCCCCCTGTGCCCAGACGTCTGGTACCGCAGATACCTCGACCTGACTATCCCGAGGACTCAGATGACTCCGATATGGACAACAGTTTCTCTGATGCCTCAGCACCCAGTGATAATACTCCTGACTCTGGAATTATTGACAAACCTCCTGTTTCACCGGCTGTGGATTTTCCTTCCTATTCCCAAATGATCCATCGGATCGCCACCACACTCGAACTCCCTGTAGAGAGGCCTCCTGAGATGACTGGACAAGGTTTACGGGGACATTGATGAGGACCAGAACTTACCGATGCGGTTGTCCTTTATCCCTTCCCTACTGAGAACTTTAAAGCAGCATTGGGACAAACCATGTTCTGCCCCCCAAATGTCTCGGAGGGTTGAGAACTTATACCTCATTCAAGGATCTGAGCTAGACTTCCTCATCAAACATCCCCCTCCAAATTCCTTGATAGTGGATGTGGCCCAGTCTAAGTTGAGGCCTTCCTCGGCTGCTACTCCTAACAATAAGGATGGGAGGAAGATGGACATCTTTGGACGTCGATCCTACGCCTTTGCCTCTCTGGTAGCCAGGGCTGCTAATTATGTGGCAGCCATGGCAGCATATCACCAACATTTGTGGAACAGGGCACTGCCATCTTTACAAGCTGCGCCTGATGAACTTCAACCTAGGGGTCTTTCCTTACATCAGGAAGCCATGCAGCTTATACGTCAGGAATGGATTTCACTGAGGCATATTCTGGATGCTGCGTCACATAACTTGATGACCAGTATTGCGATGAGGCGCCAAGCCTGGCTTAAGTCTGCGGCAATTTCGGATGACTCTAAGGCTTGTATTTTAGACCTTCCCTTTGATGGATCGGGTCTATTCGACTCTAAGACTGATGAGATCCTCAAAGGTATCCACGAAGCAAAGAAAACAGCGAGATCTTACGTCCCACAACCATACTATAAGCCGCGTTACCCCTGGAAACGCCAAGTTTCTATAACCTCTTCCCAGTCTGGGAAATTCTGTCCAGCCAAGCAGAAGTATTACACTGCTCAGACTAGCTACACCACTAGACATGACCAACGACAGAGGACACGCTCTGCCTATAAAAAGCCCGATC